CTTGTTGTTTTAACTACAGCTTTCAGTTTAACATGTTTGTACGGCCGCTGGGTATTATAGAATTATAGTCTGAAAAACATTAACCAGTCAGCACAGTCACTGGCTGGGGTCTTTAAAAACATACTTTTTGCATCCCTGCTTAGGGACCTACAAGCTTTCAATGGTGATCACTCAATTCTACAGAGTCAGTGAAGTGTTAAAAATGGTTCTTAGTTTGAATATTCTGCACATTATTTTTTTCTTTTAATTAGATGTTTTGTTAGATTTCTTGTGGAATCTCATTCATTATTAATGTAATCATTATAGCTCTTTATATTTTATATTGAGTTCTTATAATATACAGTGGTGCCTCGCTTAACGATTGCCTCGTTTAGCGATGAATTCGCATAACGATGTGGTTTTTTAGAAAATAATATGCATCGCATAACGATGTTTCCTATGGGCGATTTTCGCTTAGCGAAGTTTGGGACCATGCTTCGCATAACGAATGCGATTTTAGGTCCCCTGCTTCACTTAACGATGTTTCTTTTTCCAATTAAAAAAGTGTCTTAGAAGGGTCAAAATGGTTCTAAATGCTTGGACTCGTTAGAGGACCCCTTAAATCATGTGCAAACCTGATTTGGCTTTGATCTGACTTTTCGTTAATTTTTTGTGAATTTTTTTTTTTGGCCCATAGGAACCAATGGACCTGTCAAAATCTGACAGCTCCATGCTTTCCTATGGGGGAGAAAACCGTTTTTGACCCTTCTAAGACACTTTTTTAATTGGAAAAAGAAACATCGTTAAGTGAAGCAGGGGACCTAAAATCGCATTCGTTATGCGAAGCATGGTCCCAAACTTCGCTAAGCGAAAATCGCCCATAGGAAACATCGTTATGCTGAAAACACAGTTGCTGTGTCTTCATTAATTTTTTGTGAATTTTTTCTTCCCCCATAGGAAATAATGGAGCTGTCAGATTTTGACAGCTGTCAAAAGTTGGGGGGAAAAAATCACCATAAATTAATGAAAAGTCAGATCAAAGCCAAATTAACTTTTGCATCTGTTTTAGAGGGTGCAGAAGCTAATCCAAGCATTTAAAACCATTTTGACCCTTGTATGACACATTTAAAATTGCAAAAATTGACTTCGCAAAGCCATTAAAATGTATTGAGTCAGCTTCAATACATTCCAATGGAGGATACATTGTTTCGCTTAGCGATGTTTCCTATGGGTTTTTTCGCTTAACGACGGCAATCCGTTCCAATTGGAACGGATTAACCGGTTTCCAATGCATTCCTATGGAAAATGGTGTTTCGCATAGCGATGGTTTCACATAGCGATGTTTTTTTTGGAACCAATTAACATCGCTATGCGAGGCACCACTGTACTTTTCAGGGGAGGCTTAATTTATCCTGAAAACGGTACCATAAACACTTTAAAGAAACAAATAACATGTAGTCCTATGGTAGTTGCAACGAGGCAACTCCTATCTAGGAGCAGAAATAAGCTTTGCTGATAATATAGCATGATCCCCTGTACCACCAGTATAGAACAGCAGGGTGTGTTTTAAGACAGTTCTGTTTTACAGTCTGAAATATCTGCCTTGAAATGTAACAATGATATATTCCCCAACATCCATCTGCCAACATCTTCTGTCTATTTCAATTTCAATTCATAACTGCCCTGTTTCCAATAACTATTATGAGCAGAAGTGGTTAGGCAGAAGGAGGTGGAGACATCTCATGGCCATCAAGAGAACTACAAATGGAAGAGTGTTCATGGGATTAACTTGCCCATCTGGATGGGTAAAGGGGTAGCACAGTGATTTTGTTGAGAGAGAAGTTGGTTCAAGGTAGAGGCCTCCTCTTGATCACATAGAAAATTACAGTGGCATTCCATCTTTTTTCTTTATGAGATTTTTGAAAGGCGGGGGGCGGAGAGATGTAAGAAAAAAGGAAAACAAGTAGGCCCGCATATGGAAGACAACAAGCGCTAGATTTCCCACAAACTTCAATGAATGAGGCAGCCATGATAAAATGCAGTCTAGACATACCCAGAATATACAAAATGAATTTCATGTGGTTTGACTTCTTCTGATTTTATCAGGAGGCATCTCCCAGTGGGTGAATCCATTGAACATACATTTATCTGTGTATTGGAATTGAATTGGAAAGTGAGCAAATTTAGTTTTGAAATTTAGTTTTAGTTTAGATTTAGTTTTAAAACTAAATCTTGAACATCTTTGGTTTCCTCCAGATCTTTGATGAAATCATTTAATGAGTTCCGATTTCATTGGTATTGTACACACGTCACTCCAGATGTGTGCTTCTCTTGCATCCGGCTAGTGGCACAGCCTTTGCTATTGCACTCAATGAAGAGTGACACGCACAGATGTTGCCCTTATAGACATCTTTCCTGCACCCCCCCCAATGCCTTGTGTTGAAACAGCCATATGGTGGAAACCCTGCTGCTTTGCCCCCACCCACCGACCCACTCCCTTTCTTAATCAAAAGACTCCAGGGCAAAGTCATTTGCTTAATCCTCCTGACTCTCAAGTCCAGGCTGTCAGGATTAAGAGCAGACTCACTTTCTTGCAAGAGACGGACTCAAAACAGTGCCTGCAAAAATGTCCCATTCTCATCGTTCACTGTCTGAGGAGCAAGCAACTGTTGTGCCTTCATCCACCCATAAATTCAGGAAGAAACCCTGGAATAGCAGAGACTGACTGAATACAGTATTTGCAAAAAAAATTGTTAAGCCCCAACACCCACTAGATCCCAGAAAAAGATCACTCTTTTTCATTCTGAGCTTAGCATTGGTTACAGACGAAGAGATCTGTTATTTTAAATGAGTATGCTTCTGATACCAGAAAGCAAAGTGCTCTTTAAAAATATATTGTCATGTAAGGTTTCCTGAAGGAGGGATGTGGTGGCGCTGTGGGCTAAACCACAGAAGCCTGTGCTGCAGGGTCAGAAGACCAAGCAGTCGTAAGATCGAATCCACGTGACGGAGTGAGCGCCCGTCACTTGTCCCAGCTCCCGCCAACCTAGCGGTTCGAAAGCATGCGAGTGCGAGTAGATAAATAGGGACCACCTCGGTGGGCAGGTAAACAGCGTTCCGTGTCTAAATCACACTGGCCATGTGACCACGGAAAGATTGTCTTCGGACAAAACGCTGGCTCTATGGCTTGAAGAGCGGGATGAGCGCCGCCCCCTAGAGTCGGACACGTCTGGACAAAAAACTGTCAAGGGGAACCTTTACCTTTACCTTTAAGGTTTCCTGAAAGTCATATCTCCTGTAAGGAAGGGTAACACAGTTGACTCTAAGTTAAGTTCTGATCATACTTAAGCATATTGTTCATGACCACTGTAATGAGGCTTTGCACTATGTCAGTGACATCATCACTAGCTGTTGTAGGGTCCACTTGGCAATACAGCTCAGATCTGTCCCAAGAGATTTTGTTTTTTTTGAGCTTGAGTGGCAAATGATCCCCAGCACCCAAAATCAATTTGTATGGTACCTAGGTTATTGGCAGAAAACTGGAATAGTATATGTTTTATGAATGCTGCCAAACTGGATTTGCAATTCTGGTGATTCACTGCACTCACAGAGTCTAGATGAACTGCTATCAAAAAGATGACCTTGCTATTCTTGAAAGAAATTGCATCTGTTGACAAAACAAAACAAAACAAAAAAACAAAAAAACCACAGAGATGACTTTTGAAACTCTCGGTATGGTGTTGCACTAAGTCCTCCCCCCTCTTGTCCACATAACGTCTCAAAACTTTACCATTTCATTTTTAAAGTCTTATAAAGTAATAGATTGCAGAACTTTATTGATAAACCTGCACCACAGGAGAAGAAAAAGAGGAGTTTGAGCTTCAGTTGAAGTGGTGATTGACTTGAGTGTTGGAGAGAGGATGAATAGGTACGTCTTGAGATTAATCCAAGGCAATAAAAATAGCAACAATTTGAAATGAAGCATTCATTCCTCCATGCGAAGTGGTGCTATCTCCAAAGAACAGTAGAAGTGAGATGGTATGGGGACAGAACTTTTGACATTCTATTTTTAGACTTCAAATCCCAGAATCCTGGCTGAATCCTGGAGGACAATTTGGATTTCCCCCCCAAGCCTCTAGCAAGTGATGTTAGTGATCATTGCTACTGATAATTAGGGAATGAGAAGCCCACTCCACACATTATGCACCTCAGGTAAGGGTGCCTGTAGAACAAGGTAGTTGAATATGCTAGAGCCCCTAACCCTGATGATGCATAGAATCTGGAAGGGAGAAATCTAGGCCTTTAGATCCCTTTGTACCCAAACCTTCTTGGAAATGGGTCTGAGAAAACTGTATGCACAGGTTTCACACTTGCTGATATCCACATTTCATACTTCCACTGCCCCTTCCCCTGAGTATAAAGTGAAAGCAGCTTATGTTTCTCTGTGGTAATCAAACTGCAGTCAATAAAATGAGTGATGAACTTAACAAATCATGTGAAAACACTTTACGCTGTGCTAGCTCTACTTTTCATTATGTCTGGAAATGAAAAATGGTTCTGATGCAGACACAGGACTGTGGGTTGTATATCCAGATCATGTCACTGCAGAGATGTTGGATAATGGATTGTATCTAACAAAACAAGAGGGGGAAACTATTTGTTATATTATAAAGTATGTGCATTGATGTGTACATGTTTCGTTTTTAAACAGCAGCAAGGAAAGCTCATCTGGATTGGAAGGGGACTTAACTATCAAGCTTCAGCTTGCAAGTTGGTGGTGATGGAGAGGACATGCTATAGACACCAGTGGTCAATTCAGAACTACTTTGTTGTGGATTAGGAATGGCTTAAGAATCTTCACTGCCTGAGCCAGAACAACCGATGACCCCTCGTGCCCTATGTCAAGGTGCACAGTACTCAAGGCCAGCCAAGTTATTTTGATAACTGGAGTAGAAAACCCCACATGTTCTTCTGCATGAAAGAGAAAACATAATAATTACAATAAAAGTTTATTACCCTTTGTTGCTTGTGACAGCTACTTCCTCCTTCCTCCTTGGTAAAACAAGCTCTGGGGTGGTATAATACAGACCAAGAGCAAACTGTTTGTGAGCTTCACAAGTTGTTGAGCTCTAAGACCCAGTGTAGCCAACCTAAAAACAACTGGAGGTTTGTGCTTTGCCCACCCCTGTTCACAAGGGTTAGCTGAGCTGATGAGAATCTGACAGAGGTATTTACCATGTGACCCATATAGGAAGCCAAATCCATCTATGGACATAGTATAAAGTCTTGATCACATGAACAGAGTAACCATCAAAAGCTAATCCATCCCAGTCCTAAATCTTAATGATCCCCCTCCGTTGCATTAGAGAAGTGGCAAACATCTGAAACTCCTAGAGAGGCATCTAACACATGTAGTTATTGAAGAAAAATGGGTTTTGTGGAGGCATGTTGTATATGCATAATATATTATCCTTCTAAGAATGAGGAACAGCAAGACACAACACATACACAAAAAAAATAAAGCCTTGCTCTCAATAGAAGTCTGTTTAAATTTCATTAGGCATTGCCTGCATGCCTCGAGATATACTTTCTAAGATGGCCAGCAATCATTACTCCTTTGGCATCCTCCTCTCTTTTAAATCAAACACCCATTTGCCAGCCACAACAGGAGGGACTCCCTCCTCTTGTCATTCAGTATCGTTAACTACAGAGAACAAAGATGAGGTATTCTTTAGTATGTTTTTCTCATGATCTGGGCCCCCTTGGAGTGTTCCGATATTTAGTCTAGGTAAAAACAATTTTCTTCCTAGTTTAATAAAATCTTTCGCAGTTGGATCTGAGGGCAAGCCACTTCCAGAAGGACCCAAAGAATGAAATCTCATTTGCCTGATCCTTTATGTTATTCACTTTGGGATGTTTATTATTTATATGCTATGGACATTGTGATGAGCAGCAAGGCGGCTGACCCTGGCAAAGAAGGGTCTATGGAGTTTAGTGGGGAACAGGATCTTCTCCCAGTCTGAATCCACAGCTTCTCACTATACCTCCTACACACTGGCAAGAGTGTGTGTGTGGATGTGTGTGACAAAATCAGAGAAAGAGGGAAGTTGGTAAGAACCTATCTTATAAGACCACTGTACTCGTTTTCACAGAACCCTAATGTGCCAGTTTTCAGTTTTGTTTAAAATGAGAGAAGTTCAAGATTCTGAACTTACTTGTGCACTCAATTCCATGGCTACGTACTTCTTATGAAGAATAAATGTAACAGGTGAACCTGTATTTGGGCTGCACCATTTCCTACTGCAGGTGACAGCGCACATGGTCAGATGTCACTTCCTATGACAATAAAAATAACAACAGTAATAACATCCTATCACAAACAGTGGCAGAGAGAAGAGTTCTAATCTTATCTTCTCTCTGAAACCTTAGCTCCTTGTGTGTAATGTTTGTCTTGTTTCCATAGCAGGGCATTCTATCATGCAGGCATTATACAGCAGGAGATACAATGCAAATAATAATAATAATAATAATAAAAATCCAGTCTTGCAGAAGGTGGAAAGGGAAGCATTGTAGGAAATCAGTATAGCTGCAATTGCAGTATCTTGCATACTTCCTAACAAAGGGATAGCAACAGGCTTTAGGAAGCTTATTTACTACTCGGAGTAAGTCATAGCTTAATGTGGAATCCATCACTGTGTAAGCACTCATTTTAAAGAGTGGTTTCCCACAATTAAGGCAGTGTACAACAAACAGTTCTGTTGGCAAAGTAATTATTTTCTTTCCTCATTTTCTTTGTAAGCGATAGCTGATGTGCAATCCACCCTCGTCTGTCTACTTCCTCTTTTGTAAGAAATGGTGGAGCCATTTATGTTGTGGAGACTATGATCCCTTTTAATTGCCATTCATGTACCAAATAACCTGTTAAACACTGCCGGAAGCCAACACATATACACACAACATCCCTCCAACCAGAAGGATCACAGCCTCTGCTGCATAACATATCCCCTGCTAGAGCTACATCAAATCTTGTAGAATTCATCATCTCCACAAATGAAAACATTCAAACTTTAGGAAACCCATCAAGTTGCCATTGATTTATACAGTTCTGTCATTCCCACCACCAAAAATTAATCACTGCAGTTCCATTCTTCATTCCTCTTTGTTTTTTCTTATTTCAAGAATCCAGACATTTACAATAAATAAGAGGCTCACATTTTCTTTCTTTTTTCTTTTTTTTCTTTTGTTCTTTTTTCTTTTGCTTTGGCTCTTGCATAATCAAAGGTTTGTTGTAGTAATCAGAAGAAAGAGTCCTGTGCCTTGGCTGTTGTTGGCATCACTGACCTGCTTTAGACAAGGCTGCTCCTCACAGTAGCATACACAGCCTGGATCAGTGAGCACATGGGTAGTTTTGTTCACACTTGAATTATGTGTTCCGTGTTAGGCCACACGCAGATGTGTTCTCACACACACACACACACACACACACACACACACACACACACACGTGCCCCCTGCCCCAACACATACTCATTAGTTATAGCACTCTGGCACACAAACATGTATTGTGTATATCTACACAGAAGCACACACTCTTTCCCAGTCTTTATCACAAAACTTACAGGTACAGAGAAACACAACTCTTATACCTTATTAATATGTACACATCCTCTCTCACACCCATACACAAACACTCATTCATTAAGACACTCACTCATGCATATGCATACACACTACACACACAGCCTCCCATAATCCTTTTGCACACTCAAGTGGAGGCACAGCAAAAGAGAGATTAAAAACACACAACTTATTTCAATTCCATTTCCAAGCTAGGTTTGAGGTTCCCTCTCCTCATGTGGTAGTATCTGACTCCCAGGACTATTGTTGCACCAAGGAGGACAAGACCAATGATAAGCAATATCCACTGGCCTGCTGTGGCTTGACCGCTGCTCAGTGACATCCCAAGGAAACTGACTTTCTTGTTTGCTTGCTGGCCTGGGTAAGAACCAAGAAAAACAGAGATGAGGAGGACAGCTCAAATGAACCTCGCTTGGCAGTGAAATAACCAAAAAAGCTAACTGCTTAGAAGGCCAAACTAGACATGGTTTATCAAAGAGCTTGGTTTTACATGAATGATTTTAAACGCAACATGGCTTATGCAAGGGGAATCAGGATCATGGTGTGTGGGAGGGAAAAGGGTTTTAATCTTCGCCCTTTCTGTACAACTACTATTTGCAAGTGTGGTAAAATTTGCAGTGGCACCAGTGGAAGATTTTCTCCCATTCTAAACCAAGTGGGTCAAGCCCTGTGAGGAAAGATTGAAAGAACTGGGCATGTTTAACCTTGAGAAAAGAAGACTGAGGGAAGAGGTGATAGTAGTCTTTAAGTACTTGACAGATTGTCACACAGAGGAGGGGCGAGATCTGTTCTCGATCAGCTCAGGGTGCAGGACATATAATAATGGGCTCAAGTTAGAGGAAGCCAGATTTTGGCTGAATATCAGGAAAAAACATCTTAACTGTTAGAGCAGTACAACAATGGACCCAATTATCTTGAGAGGTGGCAAGTGTGCCAGTGCTGGAGGCATTGGATAACCATCTGTCTGATCTGCTTTGATTTGGATTCCTGCACTGAGCAGAGGGTTGGATTCAATGGCTTTACAGGCCCCTTCCAACTCCATTATTCTGATTCTGACTGTGATCATGAGGTGCACAAAACATGAAAGCCGTCTCCCCCAACCCCAATATCAAGGCTCCAACCTGGCTCACACATCACCACACCAACTGTTTAATTTAAAAGCTTGTGCTGCCTGTGTAACACCAAGCTACATGACAAATGTCACATCTAACTGAACATAAGCTTCAATACAGTAGGCAGGGGAAATTATTTCAAAAGCCTTGGTGTAGCATAGTTAAACCCCACATACAGACTATCGCAAAGCCAACTCCTTGTAGGGAAAAATTTAGAAAAAACAACCCTCTAGCTTCCCTTCCCCCCTCTCCTACCTCCACCTCCTCATTTGTGGGATGTGTAAGAGGACCTATTCAAAAGCCTTTAAGTACCTGCATAGGGTATCCAGGTGTATTCAGGCCAGCCAAGAGTTTCACCATTTTGCAAGTTCATGTTGATCAGCCATTTTGTCAGTGGTTCAAAATAGGACAGCAAGGCCTCAGCCGACATGTTGGGTTGCCCTGTGATAAGCTGCATGACTTCTGGCCATGGCTTGCTATAGCCCTGCTTCAAGGCATTCCTGTAACAACAACAACAATTTGTAAACAGATGCACAGATGTGCATTCTCACACCACACCAGATATGATGCTTGAAGGATGTGTGCCATGAGAACACACAAATTGCTTTGCTGAATGGGACCAAACATCTGTCTAGTTTAGCACCCAATCTTCTTCAGAAACCAGCCAGATCCATCTGGGGCTCTGAAAAGCAGGATATAACATTATCCTATGATGTCAATTTTTAGGCATTTGATACTGCTAAGACAGGAGAGGTACATGGCTTTGAAAATGGAGTTAGCTATTAACGGCTCTTGGTAGAATCCTCTATCATGAATATGAGTTACACAATTTAAAGCTATCAAAGAAAGCAGCAGTGATCACATTCTGTGCTAGAGATTTCTATTCTGGGGCGTAGTCTTCCATCCATATATCTTTTCCACTTCATCCCTAATCTTCTAAAACTCTGTCATGCAAATTTTCATTTCATTTACTGGAATTTGTTTTTCTTTTCTTCTTTCCAGTTTTTCAGGACTTTCTACTTTTGTGCCTTTTACAGCTTTTAAAAACGCTGTTATTTAGTCTTGGTGGTATCCTTGTAGACTTTTTTCTATTTGGTATTTAAACTGATTTGAGTCCCACCATGCCATAATTTACATCTTTAAGGTATCTAATGTACAGCTTTGAACAAAATGATTAATCTCATGGGCTTCCACAGGTAGATCGCGCACCCTAGAAGAAATTAAATGTTTCCCTTGCCCTCAACCTAACTGTCCAGTGAAAAACATAATCAAGCCAGTGCTACCCTGATAGTACTTGCCTCTCTGTGATGAAGAACCAACCCTCCACAATAATGTGGTAGATGAATCAAATGTTCACTCACACTTGGCAAACAGTGTCAAGATTTCAAGTTGATTGATATAAAGCTGAGAAGTAAATGCACATGGGCTGCATCTATAGTATTTCTTCTAAACCCATCTGTTCTTCTCAGTTCTACACCCTCTTATTCTAGGTGCCTATACATCTATTGGCATGTGTTTGTTTCCTGAAGGAGGTCCCACACAAGGAAATGGTGCAAACACAGAGGGGAAAGGCCTTTAAAGTGGATCTAGTTTCCTGCTGCTTTGTTGCTTCAGCCTTTGAATTTCTACAATTAAACTTCTTATAGGTAGATCAGCCTACCATTTGTGTCTTACTGGTGCTCAAAATAATTGAGTCATCTGGAGTGTGGGGATGCTGTGTGTACTATAATTAGGAGCTCAAAAGGCCCTGTATCTGAAACTGCCCATATAAAGGGGCAGATTCCCACAACAATCAGACCAAAGATCATACACTTACCCCAGGATAGCACCAGCTTTCTCAGACTGGTAGATGTCACACTTGTGCAAGGGTCCTACGTGGCCAGCAGCTTTGCAAAGGGCTTGATGGAACTGGAACTGGATTATGAAACTGACAAAGTACCTGAAAAGAGATAGGTCAGATGAATGGGAAGACAGCATCATATCATACTTCCTCAGGGGTCACCAATTGTACACTCGAGTCCAACATTTCCTAGATCATCTGGCAAGCAAAAACCAGCAGCAGATTGTTTGCATACCTGACATAAGGGACATTGGCAGGGATATGAAATTTTGCCCCTGGGTCAAAGTCTTCTTCTGATCTTGGCACAGGCGGGCATAGCCCTTGGTATTTCATCCTGTACAATTGAGATAAAAGGAAAGGAAATGTAGAGAAACTGGCATAATGTACACTGATTTCATGATTTAATTTTTCAGTTAATGAAACAAGGTTTGCCTTGGCTAAAGGTTTTTTTTCCCCCATGGGAAGTAAGGCAGAGCCCCAGAACAAACATTTCAAAGAGCTCATACTTTAAAAGAGAGAACGTGCAGGCAGCAGCCTGGACAGGGAAGTATTGTGAAAAGGGGACTCCAACATACAAAGGCCTCAACCGGTACTGGCATACACAACCAGGGAGATGAAGAGATAAATGGGGCATCGAGAAAATGAAGGGTCAGATCAAAGCAGGCCAGGCCCAGACTGCAAGTCTGGAGGTTTTACAAGTGGAATCAATGACAGGTGACTTGTCATTCAACCAAGAATACCATATAGGTTCTGAGAACATGCTAAAAGTATTTTCTGCGCACATGGAGTTCAATCAGAAAGGAAATGGTGGCAGTGAGAACAAAGAGGATTAGCACAGCAATTCCTCTCTAAAGCCTAGTGGGGGTAAATCCTGGCACCTGGCAGCTTCTTAAGCATTTCCCTTACTTTGAGGAAAAGGACAGAGATCAGACGAATCCACAGGAAAAGGGCTCAGAGGGGCAGTTTCGTTACAGGAGGTAAACTCAGCAGTCAAGGAGGAAAAATGATTTAATGGTTTTGGAAACCCATTATCATATCACAAACATGGATGTTATCATCTCTCCGGAGGAACAGGCCTGCTGCTTGTGCTGAATATCTACTGTGTAGAAAATGGATCTGAAGCTACTTTGCTCTGAAGGGCACAGAAACAGGCAGGCAGAAGAAAACTTTCCAGAGTAGTGTCTATGTGTCTGGGTAGAAATCAGCTAAGATAGAAGCTAGCCAAAGTGTAAGATAGTCTAATTAGCAGTCAAGTTATAAATTGTTCTTGTTATTATATGCCATCAAGCTGCCTCCAGCTTATGGCAACCCTATGAATGAGTGATCTCCAGAATGTCTGCTCCTCAATAGCCCTGCTTAGATCTTGTAAACTCAAGCCCGTGGCTTCCCCTAGGGAGTCAATCCATCTCAAGTTTAGGCTTCCTTTTTTTCTTGCTGCTTTCAGACTTTTCCAGCATTGTTGTCTTTTCCAGAGAATCTTAACTTCTCATGATGTGCCCAAAATATGACAACCTCAGATTTGTCATTTTTGCTCTAGAGATAGAGCACTTGTTTGTCTTTCTGGAAGCCCAGGGTATTGGCAAAGCTCTCTTCCAGTACCATATTTCAATCAAATCAATTTTTTTCCCCTGTCAGCTATCTTTACTGCCCAGCTTTCACACCCACACATGGTGACACATCTTCACACTTGCTCTTTTTAAATTCCTTCATTCCTGCCCTTCCGAATCTCAGTCTTCTTCTGATTTCTTGGCGGCAGTCGCCATTTGGATCGATGATTGAACCAAGGCATGCAAAATCTTTCACTATTTCAGCATCTTCATTGTTAACATTAAAGTTGTGGAGTTTTTCTGTAATCGTGATTTTTGTCTTAATGTTCAACTGCAGTCCTGCTTTGGAACTTTCTCCTTTCACTTTCACTAAAAGTCATTTCAAGACATTGCTTTCTGCCAGTAAGATGGTGTCATCTGCATATATTGAATTATTTATGTTTCCTACATCAATTTCCACTCCTCCTTTATCTGACCCTAATCTGACTTTCCATATGATAGATTCTGTTTACAGACTGAACAGATAAAGGGATACAATGTACCCTTGTCTGGTACCTTTGCCTATAGGAACCTCCCCTCCATATTCTGTCCTAACTGTAGCTTCTTGTCCACAATACAGATTATGCATTGGGACAATCAAGTGCTGAGATACACCTACAAGCTACAAGCTACTTACCTGAGTTACAAATTACTCACCTGAGATTCCACCACTGTTGATTGTATTCATCTTCGGGAATGCGTCCATCAAACACTTTCCATCTCCACTGATCCATCAAGTAGCCAAAGGGCAGGAAAGCAATCTTATCCAGTGCAATGCTCATCAAGTAGTTGATGTCACTCTCTGGCCAAGAAGAACAAACTATAAATAGACTCACAACTCAGTAGATCTTTCCATAATGTTCCTCCTTTCTACTGTACCTCTTGCTGACTCTCCTGTGCTACTACAAAGTATTAGCTCTCTCATTCTATTAGTTCTTGGATTCTTATGAATGTTCAGGTATATCTATACCCTATCCAAGGGCAGATAAGGCTGATCAGTGGATATGGCCCACAAAATATATGACATATAAAAGTTGTTAGCCCTTACGGTATCACAAGATTCTCTTTTTGGCTGCAACAGACTAACATAGTTACTCCTTTTGGAAAACTAGTAATTGTTAAGTGAATCCATACATTGGATCAGTAGGATCCAACACAGATTTATGGTGTCATTAGATCAGTGGTCCTCAACCTTTTCTGAACCGCAGACTGGTTTAGTTTGCAGGTGGGGTCTCTCTCTGCAGCATCTTCATTGTTAACATTAAAGTTGTGGAGTTTTTCTGTAATCGTGATTTTTGTCTTAATGTTCAACTGCAGTCCTGCTTTGGAACTTTCTCCTTTCACTTTCACTAAAAGTCATTTCAAGACATTGCTTTCTGCCAGTAAGATGGTGTCATCTGCATATATTGAATTATTTATGTTTCCTACATCAATTTCCACTCCTCCTTTATCTGACCCTAATCTGACTTTCCATATGATAGATTCTGTTTACAGACTGAACAGATAAAGGGATACAATGTACCCTTGTCTGGTACCTTTGCCTATAGGAACCTCCCCTCCATATTCTGTCCTAACTGTAGCTTCTTGTCCACAATACAGATTATGCATCGGGACAATCAAGTGCTGAGATACACCTACAAGCTACAAGCTACTTACCTGAGTTACAAATTACTCACCTGAGATTCCACCACTGTTGATTGTATTCATCTTCGGGAATGCGTCCATCAAACACTTTCCATCTCCACTGATCCATCAAGTAGCCAAAGGGCAGGAAAGCAATCTTATCCAGTGCAATGCTCATCAAGTAGTTGATGTCACTCTCTGGCCAAGAAGAACAAACTATAAATAGACTCACAACTCAGTAGATCTTTCCATAATGTTCCTCCTTTCTACTGTACCTCTTGCTGACTCTCCTGTGCTACTACAAAGTATTAGCTCTCTCATTCTATTAGTTCTTGGATTCTTATGAATGTTCAGGTATATCTATACCCTATCCAAGGGCAGATAAGGCTGATCAGTGGATATGGCCCACAAAATATATGACATATAAAAGTTGTTAGCCCTTACGGTATCACAAGATTCTCTTTTTGGCTGCAACAGACTAACATAGTTACTCCTTTTGGAAAACTAGTAATTGTTAAGTGAATCCATACATTGGATCAGTAGGATCCAACACAGATTTATGGTGTCATTAGATCAGTGGTCCTCAACCTTTTCTGAACCGCAGACTGGTTTAGTTTGCAGGTGGGGGGGTGTCTCTCTCTGTGTGTGTATGTGGGTCACTTGTGCACGTGTGCATGGGTGGGGCATCCATGCACGGGTGGGTGGGGCATCTGTGCGTGCATGTGGGGGCTGTGCATGCGTTGTCCATAACTGTATGTGGGGGGTGTATATCCCTGTGGGGGGGTGCATGCGAGGGGATGGGAGATCTGTCTCAGCGGGGTTGTCGTGCCAAGGCCACAGTTTGATACTGGGCTGCAGACCAGGGGTGGGGGACGCCAGCGCTAGATGATATGATGAATCCATATCTAGAAGAAGTGCTCCCTTAAGGGGTGAAATAAGTGTAATTGTGAAAACATATTAAAGAAGACATTTACACATCTTTGGAATTAAATGGAATTATCTCTGAAATGTTTCTTTTGGATAACTGTTTTTAATGTCACACATAACAAAAGAGATCACATTGCTTGGGAGAAAGTATGGAAAGAATAAAAAAGACACATTTCCTGGAACGTGTGTTCTGGTTTCAAGGGGCACATGTCTATCATAGCGACTAAATGTAAGTATGGCAAACTATGTCATAAGGCTTGTGTTTTCATGCTCAAAACCACTGCCTAGAGATGCACCTTGTAGCTATGGGTCATTTCAGACAGTTCTGTTATGGGGAAATGGCCTTGCCTTGTTAGTTGTTTTTGAACACAGTTTATATACAACACGGGGAGCAGATGATTTACCTATAAAATTTAAGTAGCTGGTGTCCCACTGTTTCTCTTAACATGGGAGAACTGATCTTCCCTGTTTAAAGCAAAAAGCAAAGCGTGCTGCTTATATACCGCCCCATAGTGCTTCAAGCACTCTCTGGGCTGTTTACAAGTTAATTATGCAGGCTACACATTGCCCTCCCCCAGCGAGCTGGGTACTCATTTTACCGACCTCGGAAGGATAGAAGGCTGAGTCAACCTTGAGCCGGCTAACTGGGATTGAACCCCAGGTCATGAGCAGAGTTTTGGCTGTAGTACAGCGGTTTAACCACTGCGCCACGAGGCATGAGTTGTTGATGGGGTTTTAGAAATGGAGCTGCAATGGGATTTGCCACAATTTTTTTTCCACCAAGCCTCCTCAGCTTCTGCTGCCATTTGCATCTGCCCATCCTGTAGCTGTTTTAGAATAACTATCAGAAAAAGGAAAGGTAAAAGCAAAGGGCTATCCTGACTGAAATACAAACCCCAGTTTCATGAACCCTTTTACTTACAATCCAATTCAATATGGTGGGTTTGGAGCAAGCAGTCATAGGATCTGGATCCTAACGTGAAGGAAAGGTTGCAATCCAATTCACATGGGCTGCAATCCTACTTGTAGTTACCTGGCAATAAGTCCTTTTGAGTTCAATAAGCACTGTTTTTGAGTTGATACATGTAACATAGCTCTTATATTGGTAAAGAAACCCCACTGGAACATAGCACAGAGGAGCAAAAGTGAAGCTGATTTAGGAAGACAATTTCTAAAACATGTCATTCCCCCCCCCCCTGCAATCTATGTTTGAGTTTACAGGTGGGCTGGAATCTCTTTATGAATAATCTGGTGAGACTGGCCAGATTACTCATAAACATGTTTGAACTTGCTTATGGGTTCAAATGTAGGTTGCAGAGAAAATGTGAAATGTCATAGAGATCCTCCCCCTACCCATTTACAGAGGGCTTTTTCTTCAGACAGGGGAATAAAACCTTCAGCTTCTGAAGAGGGGAAAGCAACAGAACAGGAAGGCCAGTGGAAAGGTACTCAACAGGAAAACATCCAGGCAACATCCTCTGAGAGATACAATAGCAGTAAAGTAGTTTTATGTTTGTTTGTTTGGGGGGAATAGGTGCAGCAACACAGAACACAAGTAATAATTCCAATTGCATTTTAAATTGGCATTTTGAAACACAAGAAGACATCAATCAAGAATCATCTAAAGCGTTCCCATGTGGCAACATCTTGCTTACCCGTACTATCTTCAATCTGATCCAGCAATTTGATGCTGTACAAGTGCTTTGGGGTAGATACTGATAAGGCCATGACATCTCCGATGGCTTCATGGAATCCTGGATTGGCTCCATCACGGAATGAGATGGGCTGGTCCTTGTACTGTAGAAAGTATTGGACATGACCCATTTCATGGTGAGCTGTTATTAAATCATCCATATTCACAACAGTGCATTGCTTAATCCTGAAACAAGACAGAGAAGACCAAGGATGTTTGAATGCAAGGTAATTTTTACAAAGAAGAAATACAGTTCAAAAAAAATGTGCTCCATTTCTCTTGCGCAGCTTACAGATCAACCAGCACAATCCAAACCAGAGAGAGCTGTAGACATTCTGCAGAAAGATGCACTGAGAATAATGGTTCCTAACCATATATGCATGTCAAACAAGTGTACATTGCCCTGAGTTTTGGGTCTATTTTAATATAGGGATCAAGATATTTACCTTAAAAGGGCCACAACTGAGAATAAGAACTCCTCCTAGTCCTTTTTAAAAAAAAGGTTTTTATTAATTTTATTTATTTTCAATAGGGGTAAGGGTTGGGGTGTGGGTACAAGGGAATAAGGAAGGAAGGAATAAGTGTGGGGAAAGGATAAAATTCCAACATGAATTTGACCCAACTCTGGGAGGCAGTGGAGGACAGGAGGGTCTGGCATGCTCTGGTCCATGGGGTCACGAAGAGTCAGACACAATTTAATGACTAAACAACAAAAACAAAATCTGAAGGATCATATCTCCCCATATGAGCCTTCTTGGTACCTAAGATCATCAGATGAGGGCCCTCTCTTGATCCCATTGCCAGTGCAGACATGGTTAATGGAGACGCGAGAGAGGGCCTTCTCTGTGGCTGCTCCCCCTTGGGAGGTCATGTTGGCCCCCTTCATTTTATCCTTCAACTAACAACTGAAGACCCACCTTTTCAGGTAGTCTTTTTACAATCATGACTAAGACCCTTAATGTCATTTTTTTAAAAAAGTTAAGATAATTGTTTGCATTTTACCAGTTTTTATTATTTAGCTGTATTTTAATCAGTTTTAAATTATCTTACTGTGTTTTTATTTCTGTTCTCTTTAATACAGTGAGCCACCTTGGGTCACCTTATCAGGAGAAAGGCAACCTATAAACAGGACAAATAAGCACAAACAAATGTGTAGCCCCACATGTGAGCAGCTGCTTGCACACTGGATCTCCATACTCTTGGGATGCCCACAAAACCCGGTGTCCCAATCACATATAGAACTTTCTTTGCAGACAACATGCTCAACAAATGATACTGGAGACTGTGACTAGCATGGGGACATGGATTCTGCAGAAGGCCAGGAACATGATCCTCTTCCTAGTTAAAACTCTTCATGCTGCACATGCAAATAAACATTGGAAAAGAGCTAGAGACAGCTGCAGTTTGAAAACAACAACTTCTGTGTTAATCTGTACTCTTTTAAATTTCACAAGTTCAATATTACTGTTCCATCAATACAGAGCTGAATCAGAATCAGGGGATAAGGAGGAGCAGGAACCAATTCCAGCAAAGGAGGAAGAGAGGCATGAACCAGCTTTGTGGGTCTATACAGTGTGGTGAACAGCTGGCTTATCTACTGGCAGAAATTAACATATAACTCTGGTGAGTGAGGAGGCAAGTTTTCAGTAGGTCACAATGAAAGTTGTGTAAGGGTGGAGATTCTGCAGTTACATAGCTTACATTTTGCCAAAGTAAAAGAGGATTCGTTTTGTGCATTTATTTAGGAAGTTCTCTTGGCAAAGGTGAAGACTAGGGATGGGCACAAAGCACTGGTTCAGTGTTCATGCTGGTTCATGTAGTGGCTGAACAGGTGTTTGGCACTTCAAAGCCCCGCCTTCTCTGGCAGGCGCCTACTTAGAGGCCATTCCCAGAGGAAGTAGGGCAAGGAAACCAGGCCACTGCTTCCTGAGTGAGTGCCTACTGGAGGAGGCAAGGCTTTGAAGTGTTGAATATCTGTTCGGCCACTAAACAAACCAGCAGCAACTGCAGAAATGCCAGTTAATGCTCATTTCTAGTCAAGACAATGGTCACAAAATGAGCTATGTGTGATGGCAGCAAAGGTACTTTACTTTCTACTATCCTTCTCCACCCGCTCCTATTGAAAGCACCTGAAATCCTTGCGATTATAGAAGTCCCAGGCTGAGGCATGGCAGACCACTTCCCTCCCATCACTTGGCTTTTCCAGCATGGATTTATTCCAGAATTCAGGTGGCATCGGAATGAGGCCCAAGGATTTGAAGAAATTATCAGACTCTTCAAACATTTTCTTTGGAGTCCAGCCCTGTGGAAAGGAGAGTAAGTGGAAGAGGAAAAAGAGAAAAAGTGGGCATCAGAGACAAAAAAAGGTGGCCCTGCGTTAACTCTAGCCATGCCCACCACTGACTTCAGATCCTTCCACTTGCTCTCATCCACCTTGATACATGTCCCCTCAGATTAGAAGAAGTTTCCCAACTCTGTCCCAAATATTTCTGGGCTCTGTAGCCAAAGTTAGCCAAGATTAGTGTCTTAATTATGCCATTTCTACCTCAAATGTAGTTAAAAATAATACACAAGAAGCACACCTGGAGGCCACTAGCATAACTTGACAAGTCGCAACATTTTTACTAGCTGCTGCAAGAACTTCTTATTCAGGGTTTGTAGGGATTGCAATTAAGCACATGTTGGATTAATCTTAGTTTGCATTTAATGCATGATCCTAGTTGTTCATAAGATTTAGTTCTCAGAATGAGACAAGCCACTAGATTTTAAATTGAACTTATAAGAACTAGGTTTGGAAGCAGCACTGAAATGGTAAGGTTAATATCCACCTAGATTTTCCACCAGCAGCTGATACCAAAAATAGGGATAATGAATACCAAGCTGTATGAGTTAATGTCAAGAAAGAGTACTCTGCATGTACTGAAGTGTTTTCTTGAACTCTGAAGCTTCAGCAGTTATAGGATAATAAACAAATAGAATGAATTTCGAGGCCCATTTCAGATTACATAACAGAACATAATTAGCCCTCTCTTACTGCCCAAATTGCCAAACTGTTTGTCACAAGCTCTGGCGTGTGAAGAACCTCTGAAACCTGTCCAGGGCTGAGACGGGAAAAGTACATGCATTAGAAAGTGAAAACGTCCCTTTTCAGTTAATCTCTCCTTCATCTAGGAGAGAGAGAAAAAAGAATAACCCATTCTTTCTGGATGACTCCTTCCTGCAGAGCAAGAATTAGAGTAGAACAGCCCCAAGTCTCAGAGTTCCTCAAGAGTTTCTAAAGCAGTGGTTCCCAACCTTGGGTCACCAGATGTTTTTGGACTAAAACTCTCAGAGGCCTTCACCACTAGCTGAGCTGGCCAGGATTTGGGGGAGTTGTAGTCCAAGAATATCTGGACACCCAAGGTTGGGAACCACTCTTCTAAAGTGTTCAATTTAATGCCCTAAGAAAACTCTACAAGTCACTGGGGGGGGAAATGGCGTAACCTACCTGGCGTTTCATGGCTGGTGTAGCATCCACTTTGATGGCATTGGGAAAAGGCATGACAAGGTCAAAAACGTTTGCCCATGATTGTGCCCACATGTTTCCTAAGAAACAGAAAATACAGCTGATGAATAGGCAGAAGCAGAGAGAGAGAGAGAGAGGAGGAGGAGGAGAAGACAATGGATTCACAAGATCTAATGTTAACATTCTGGCAGAGGATAATATGTCTGCTTCAAGGCAAATTAATAGTGATGTGGGCCTACAGCCAATGATAATTGCATTCCCAATATACCTAACACCACTCCACAACACAGATATGTTGCATATAAAAAGGCTTTTTCACTTGCTTAATAAATGCATTGGTTGCATACTGCTAGTGTAGCTTATTATCAGAGTTGGGCTTTTGTTAAGGAATATCACAGAATGTTCAAAGTCCTATATTTTGTGTCTGATGAAATGTGGTATTATAAACAATGCATCTAGTGTTTTTTTTGCAACTGCCGTATACAGAATTCTTCTATCAGTCTTACAAACACTTCTTCAACATTCATTATAAGGTTGATATGAGTACACAAATTACTAGGGTTGAATAAGAAGCAAGGGGAAACAGTAGCTGAAGCATCTTACTAACACATGTACACCTGCCCCAAAGTTATCATCCCATCTACAACATGGACAATCAGTCTTTGAAGAAAGAAATGATGGAATGCACGGGCCACATTTTGTATGGCTATGTACATTGTGACGTCTCCTATAGTCAACAAGGTTCCTTCAGCAGACATCTATACCTCCCAAAGAGCTGTAAATATAGGATTCCACAGCCTCTGCATCCCAGATATGTTGGTTTCCATCATTTTCAGCCACCACAGTGAATGGTTGGGAAAGGCTACATTAATGCAACTATTGCTGTCTCAGAAGGATATTTAAGGAGGAATGAATAGCATTGGAAATTACTACTATGTCCATTTCATCCCGAAGAAAACTCTACAAGCTACTTGGAAAAAATACGCTGGCAACCCTAGTAATCACTGGCAACTGGTAGAACTGTCTGCTTTTTAAAGGCAAGGTCTAACAAAAGGAATAACATTCATAGAGGAGGCTCTAAGCAGGAACTAATTGCCCAGGGTGTCCACTGGCTCAGGACATTGCCCTACTATGGGATGGCTTACCTAGCAGATGAGCTGGGATAGGGCCTTTGAGATTGATGAGTTCTGCCCCATACTTCTTGTAGAGAGCCCGACGCACATAGGCATGCAAATTGAAGTACAGTGGTTGAAGTTGCTGCCAGATGTTCTCCAGATCGTCTTCAAAAGTTGGTGTTTCATACAGTGATCTCCAGAAAGCACCATTGTCTGTATGACCTGCACAGGAATATGAGAATTTGGTGAGAGCAAAGAAGGTCCTTTCATTGCAAGCTGCCTAGGGAGAACTCTTAGAGTGTGACTATACTGAAGAGCTGAATCGGAACAATTCAACTTTGTTGCAATTTGATTCCCAGATGATATTATCTCTGAAATTGCAAACAGTTCACCATTTATGCTGGTTACGATTCAAGTGGCATTCCAAGCCACAGGCCCCCTCCTTCTGCTGATCCTTTAATGGTTTAGTCCAGAGGAGTCCCGTTCCAGCCTCTGCTGATCCTTTAATGGTTTAGTCTAGAGGAGTCCCGCACCCTAGAGCAAGAGTGAAAGAGGAGGAGGTGATGGAGCTGAGAGCTTGCAGCACAGTGACACTTTGCCCAAGCATAAGGGTAAAGTAGCTGAAACCCCAACTGAACTGTTTTAGAAATCCCCCAGATGGCATAGGAAAGAAGATTCTTATATATGCAGAAAAGGAAAGATCCAAAAGAGGAGTTGGTGGATGCGCTGGCCGAGTGCCAGGGTGCAGCAAGAGTTGCAAGTGTCAGGAGACCCAGAGAGGCCAGGTAGAACTTCCCTGGCTCCTCAGTCAAGTATCCTATCTGGGGATCCGCACCATTCAAGCTTCAGACTAGTTCATTTCTGAAAAACTTTTCTATAGAAAAATAATGTAGAAAAAGTACTTCCAGTGACATAAACAATTTAAACTAGCTTAAAACTGTATGTCACCAGAGAGCAGTAATTCCGGCTTACTTGAAGGTAAGGGAACGGAATAATGGGTGGTGGGACGGGGGTGATCCCAAATGGAATCATTCTGAGTCGTGAATCATGATGTATTTTGCAAAATTCCTGTACAAACTTTTGATGTTCTGTATTCTGAGACTACGAAGTACCTTTTTCATATTTTTATAGGTTTTTCAGAAATGTAATAAGTCCAAGAAGCTTAAATGACAAAGCAGCTTCACAACAAACCATACTTATAGTACTTTGCTTTTGCATGCCTCCTGCACATCACATCCAATCAGGTGGGAAGCTGGTTTTTTTAAAGAAGTAGCTTGGGATTGGATACACTTTGTGGAGAAAGGTGAATGCTGGTGCCCCCCCACACACAATCTTTACAACACCACCTGCAGGAATACGCTTTATGCTGGAATCCTCCCGACATGAAAATGTTGAAACTCTCTAGAGCAGCCTGTAGCATTCGCTCTGCTTATTAATATTCATGTGGAGATTTACATGCATCAATAGGTTCCCTGCTTATTAATATTTATGTGGAGATTTACATGCATCAATAGGTGTTGGGGTGGAGTTAGGTAGGGGTGAAGAAAAGGAGGGAGAGAGAGTAGGCGGTTGGGAGTGAAGAGAGAAGGTTGTTTTAGTGAAGAGTTAATGATATTGGCTGTTATCACCTGTAACAATAAACAATTTCTACTTGGTTCTTAAATGATATGTTGCCTGGACCTCTGTCATTAATAGTGAATAACATTGATGTAATCAACTGGTGGCAGCTGAATGACACGTAGCTTGTGCCTTTGCTTGGTGAAACAACCAAGGGCCAGGTGGGAGCATGACATAGCCATTCTCAACAGGGGCCCTATAGCACATTTGAAGGGGACCACAGACTGGAAACAATTCTTCATACAACATCTTATAAGGTTCATTATGCAACTTATACAATTTCGATTTGATCTATATTTCTTTCACATTGTGTTTATAGCCATGGCCGAAAAAAGGTTGAGAAAAGCTGCTCTAAATGTAGAGGGAAAAGCTGCTTTAGTAGCAAAACGGCTGAACTGATTCAAATCAGGCTTGTATGTCACAGACAGTAAAAATTAAATGAATCCACCCATTTTATAAGCAAAGTAAAACTCACAGCATTTAACTATGTAGTCACCCTCTTATATGATGAAGCAGCATAGAAATATCATTAGCCAATAATAATATACATTCTTCTTCTTTACCACTCATATCCCACACACATGTTGAAAAGCTATGCCATTTTTTTAAAAAAAATTAAAGTATAAAAGGGTTGGTTGTTGTAGGTTTTTCGGGCTGTTTGGCCGTGTTCTTAAGGTTTTTCTTCCTAAAAATCAGTTAGTTCAAAAAACCTTAAGAACACAGCCGAACGGCCCAAAAAAACCTACAACAACCATTGAATCCCGGCCATGAAAGCCTTCAAGAATATAAAAGGGTTAATGAGACTGGAACACTTTTTGGTAGTGCCAGACCCACCAAACAACTAAGATTCCTCACTTTAGGAAAGAGTGCACATTGCATCTATGTACCATGCTCTTTGGTAAAACGTAGCCGCTCTGCAGGCTGAAATAGCAATGATAAAATAGTAAGCTATCCAATGCAGTTGTGGTGATTAGACTGTTCAGTGAACAGACTCCCTTGATACAATTGCTTGAAAACTGTGTTGAGGGTTTTCTGCCGTGAATATATTAGATCAACAATGTCAAGTCTGCGTTAGCTTTTGAGACTCTTTATCAGATGGGCACAGCCCTGCGTTCTTTTCCTGCTATATCTCACTATTAGATTTGTTCAAGCAGTGAGGACTGCAAAACCTACTTACCATTCAGTTTGGCAGCTTTATTGCTCAGCTCCACATATCTCTTGTAATGAGTTCTTATTTTTTTCCCTGATACATCTCGCCAGTCTTTCCAGGCATGAAGGAGCTCACTGTAGTCCCTTGATTGAGCCATGATGTCTGTAAGTTCTAAATAACACATCAGTACAAGCAAGGATGAGGTCTGAGACTGGACATTATCACCACCTTGGCTACAATGTGTATCTCTCTGCTATCCCCGCATTAGCATTCTCAAAACCTGGCATTCTCCAATACTGCTCAAATACAACTATTATTCTCAGTTAGTATGGAAAATATTAGATAATGAGCACATCTGGAGGATGTCAAGCTAAAGAGGCTGGTTTGCACCATACACGCTCCGCTCTGGCCATTTACCCTTTGTTTCCCAAAGACCCACCTCTGTCTCCTTCAAATCCTCTCAAAGCCCATTTATTCTTGGAAGGTTTTCTCCAACCATGTTCTAGAGTGTGTTCAAAAGGTTAAGAACCACTGTTCTAGAGTGTGTTCGCCTTCCAGCCAATCTATGTCCCTTTTGCTTCCAACTCTTTTCAACTTAATTTACTCAGGCTGTTTTTCTGACTTCATATGTTGGGATTTTAACAACCTCACATGCTGCCTGTAGTAGGAAGAGAACTTTTATGGGATGAGGTCACTGTCAATCTATCCAGCACTACCTATTGTTCCCTCCTGCCTCTGAAATAAAAGAGAGCCTCACCTCTTTGCTGAGTGTTTCCTTTCCTTTTTCTTTAATATGCTGAAAACAGTCCTATTGTTTGTTAGCTTACTGTTGAAATGAAATGTGTTTATTCTTTCTCCTACGGATGTCTCAGAGTGAGTTACTGAGACTGTAAGTGCCAGTTGATGAGAAAGGGATGGATTATCTGGATAACTTGAAGCTATTCTGATCTGTGAATCTCTATACTTCCACTGCTCTGCAGCAAAAAGCAATTTTACCGGAAATTCAAAACTCTGCAACAGCATATGCCTCATGCAATAAACCAGAAACTAAAGCAGATAAATAATGAGTGGTAAAACCAAGACTCTATCCCAAACAATTCTGATCTTTTGTGAATAAAGTTAACTTTTTATGGGAGGTTAATTTATGTATATCAAAACACTGTGAGAGCTCAATTTTAACTGGAAGTCCTGGTTTTCTTTATTAGGACCGAGTTCTGGCGCAAGTGGTTCTCTTTGGAATGCCATTGCTGGGACTTACCAGGATCCAATGCCTTGCACGCTGACCCTGAGGTACAGACTTTGGCTACGCTGTAAATTGTCTCCATTTCTGAGAGGAGCTGGTTATACTGAAAGAAATATGGTTATTCTACTTAGAGAGTAAAAGAGGACTGCCTCCTCTCCCCTCCCCTCGCCTGTCTAGAGAGATGCCTGACTAAGAGACCATTCTTACACTTGTAAAAAAAACAAAAAACCCTATTATCTGCCTTGGAAGAGATTAAAAAAAGTTTTATGGTTATGACATTTCTTCCATAGGGTCATGCAGCTGCTCTGTGCCTTTATTCCCTAAAGTAATACTGTGCAGGCGAGAATGTTTGTACTAATATTTCCTCGTGGGCTGTAACCCTGTTTTTCTACTTGCTGATGTTTACTTCCACCCCCAACCTTCTAATGCTGTTTATCTACATTCCTTGCAAAATATCCATCCTCGTCAGTTGTAAGAAATTAGGGCAAGGTTATAAGAACTGCCTCATGCATTATAACTATACATTGTATATTATATTCAGGAGTATGCTCTCGCTGAAGTTTCACTTTTCAGCAAGCCTACAAACAGCTTACTGAAACAAGTGAATATCATAATACATTTGTGTAAAGACACCATGTGAACATCACCATTATGGAAAGTAGTTTTAGACCATTATGGAAACACATATATATCATCCAATTAACAAATAAAAAGTCACTCCTGTGAAGTCATCAACTGTGTCTTTATTCGGATTTTCTATAATGTCAACATCCTTGCCTTGAAATCATTCTTCACAGCTTTATGAAGGAAAAAATCAGTTAGTTCAAAAAGTCCCCAGTTGGGAGTGACCAAAATCCTCTTTGGGAGGTAAATTACCCCAAGTTAAGAAATCACTGTAGACATTATCAGCTCCGTGCTGAATCACATAACCTCATTTGCAACTGATAATGTCTACAGTGATTTCTTAACTTAAGGCAATTCACCTCAAAAAGTTATGTTGTTTGGTGGCATTTTAGTTGATACTAATATAGATATTACTTAACCATGGATAATATAAAACAGATGCAAATGGTCTGCAATCAGGAGCTTATCTGTATTCTGTTAACATCTATAACTCCTGAACAGTCAAAAGCAGGTCCACACAGGGTGCAATACATTAGAGTTTTCTAAGGCATATTTCATGGAGACAAAATCCTTTTCACTGGGGGGAATAGACAGAAGAGTGGCACATGCCATATGATGTTGGGGGGAAAGCATATCTAGTATTAGCTGTCACTAACAAACAATTTATTTATTTATTTTATTCAATTATTCATTTATTTATTTCACACCATTAGTGTGAAGCACTATTCTGGGTGGTCTTCAGCAAAATAATAAAACATAGCAACAATGAAATTACAATAAAACCAGTCAATGGATAAAATCAGATGTAACAAGAGGTGTGATTCCAAATATAGTGCAGCATGTGAGGCATAAAAACCAGGCAAGATTGCATTGGAAAGCCTCTCTGTAAAGTAGCATCTTCAGAAGTCTTCTAAATACTAGGAGGAAGGGAGCCAAAAACAGCTTCACTGGGAGCTCTTTCCAGAGTGTTGGTGCAACAGCAGTGAGCTCCTCTGTAATTGATTTCCTGGCCTCCTTTGGTGCAGGCACCCAGAGGAGTGTTGCTCAGAAGGATCTGATGGAGTGGGTGGGTGACTTTGGAAAAAAAGGTGCTCCAACAAGCACCATGGTCCCAAACAATGAAGTGCTTTATATGTGAACATCAAAACCTTGAACCTGATCTAAGACACAAAAGGTAACCCGTGCAGGCAAGCCAAAACTGGGGAGATGTGATCAAATGTGCTCATATCGGCCAGAGGCAAGCCAGAACTGGGGAGATGTGATCATATCAGCCACCAGTCTGGCCACCATATTCTGGACCTGCTGCAGTCTCTGGGTCAGCTTCAAGGGAAGCTCCACATGCAGAGCATTGCGGAGGTTGATCTGAGAGATGACCAATGCCTGTACCAATGTCCAGAGGGCTCCCTCATCTAGCTGAGGATGGAGTTGGGCTATAAGCTTCAGCTGATTGAAAACTACTCTACTGGCTTACTGTAATTTGAGGGAAAGGAGAAATCTATCTATGATTCCTCCCAGATAGATAGCTCTTTACACTTCCAGTCAAAAATCAAGGTGCACCTATTCCATATTTTCTTCCTTAACCATTTTTCTTCTGGTAAGAACAAAATTACAGGTATTGGGAAAATATAGAAGGTTACACGTAGATGATATCATCTGGATCGCCTATAAAATTACAAGAACACATAATAAAACAATGGCCAAAATCCCATTGCATAGTTACACCTGCAGAATAGTGCATCTCACATTGGCAAATTTCCTGGTCATACACCAAACCACACAACGGCAAGCAATGAGGAATCTAAGTGGGAACTCATTAATCAGCAATAATTTGGCACTGTGAGTTACACACAACTCTGCTGGTGCAACTGCGCAATATGATTTTGGTCACCAAAGTCTTGTCTGGAGTGCAGAATCTTTCATGTTGTTTTCATGTAAATGTACATAAGTATGAGCCAGAAACCCACAGAATGATTCGTGAGTAAGAACAACAGTCTCCTATCATTACCTTCCAGAACATATCTGAGATGTAGAAGTAGAACCTCTACAAAGCAATGTTTAAACATACTTATTGAAGAGAATGTATAGTTGAGCAGCAACAACTTTGCCCAAAAGTAAGTTTGATTTTGACCTCTTCTTCCTGTGACCGAAAGGATTCACGGGGAACTTCTATAGGAATAATCTCATAATAGCTTCTTTAACAAGTAACTGAAGTTCTTAATTGCTCCCAGCAAAAAATGTGATTTAGGAAATGGTGATTTTGAGCAAGGAAGCAGAGGAGATCACACTTAAACTTACTGTATTCCACTCAAATCTCCCTTACCCAGGCTTCTTTTAGGAGAAAATTAAGGAGGTTGGATCTGTTAGATACATGTATAAATGATATATAGCTAGGTGCTTTAACAGCTGGAAATCTTTTTTTAAAAAGAAAAACTAAGAAATGTAAAAAAGGGGGGGAATAAAGGAAAAATGTTACAAGTAATAATAAAATTTTATTCTTAAAATTCCACAACTATGATGTTCCAAAAATTCTATGTGGCCCTGTAATTGGTCTAAGGTCTTCACCCATCTCCTTCATTCTCACCTCCTTCAGCTCCTCTTCAGGTAGGGCTGCCCGTTCTATATCACTCAGTTTCTTCAGAATACGCTTTATGCTGGTGTCCTTGAAATCGGTGGGATCAAATGTTCGGGCTCGGAGGCCATAATGCAGGGTATGGTTTGACATTTCCAGGTTCTTTTCTAACTACAAAATACACATAGAAGGAATGAAGTAAGGAAGGAAGAAAGAAAGATGTTTTGCATAACAGTTTAAGTCCCAGTACAAACTGAACATAATGATATGCCATTGTCAGTGTTTTTCCACAAGCCTACCACTGATGGCATAATATTATGCTGGTGTAGCACCATATCCAACCCAGCTCTACCAATCAAGGAGCTGAAAATGGGCAATGAGGAGGAGGCTGGAAAGAAGTAGGACCCAGCTGGGATCATGTGTTCTCAGACTTCTCTCATATTTCCGACAAGGTTAAATTGGCAAAAAGAGATTGCGCTTATTAAGCTACTCACACAGAAGTCAATGGAGAGCTAAAAAGCCCACTACCCCTGATTCTGTGCTCATACAGATAAAACAAAGACCAGAATTCCAACTAATTCTGTAATGAATCATAGTACCAACAGGAGCACATAACCCTCAATGGAAGCCATAATCCAAATGACAGGGCACACAGCACTATGTGGCAACAATTTAGTCTATTTCCTGAAAATCTGGATCAAACAACTTAGAATCCTGTGAAGGCCACTCATTGTTTTTTCTTAATTAGTATTCTTAACCGTGGTTTTATTTGTGGCAATTCCCTTCTGAAGCTATACAGAACTGGATAGCCATCCCTGAAAGTCTGTTCCCATTTTGCATACACTTTTACTTTTGTACATCTGCACTGTTAACTTTCCAGGGATGCTATTTTGACAATATATTTGTAATGCCTATTTTAATGTGTGTACTCTTGCCATCTCCCACACAGCTATGTTAAAAACTGTTCTAGCACACATTTTTAAATATTTTAAGCGAGCAACCAAATAAATAAACACAATGGGTGCTTGGTCAACATAAGTTTGCCACCACAGTCGTGTATCGTCTGAGGCAAGATATGGGATCACTTTCTTCCTCTTCTTAACTTTATTAAAGAGACCATGACATAGCACCAATTTTCTTTTTAACATGAACTCAATTTTTTAAAAAAAAAGTTTGATTATTTGTTCTAATTGGTATATTCAGGTGAATTTCCTATTCCTATTTATAAGTTTTGTTATGCCCCCTAATGCAGATGGAATGTCAAGAGGTATAGATTTCCAAAAAGCTCTCTGCCTCCTGCATTGTAGAAATGTACTGGAGAAGCAATGACTGCTAATCTGGAAGCAACCTGCTCTTACAGTTGAAATAAAATGAAGTCTTAGAGAAGTTTCCAGCTCTTCCTTAGATGAGACTCCTTTTCAGAGATTTTCTAAATGAGAAACTGATACGTTGTCTAGAAAACGTGATTCCTTAAGAAGAAAGCTAGTCTGTTTATTCTAACTGTTTCTGCTTGCTTATATCTACATGTGGCAAATAAGCTCGTGCTTGTTTGGCAACTGGTTCATTGGAAGACAAATTTATATGCCATGTCTGATGCTTCAGGCACAGTGATGATAGATTTGTCATACATGGAAGGATAGATTTATAAAAGAAGGCAGTATATATTTGTTTTAAGATATGATCTGAGACTCCAATTTCATTTATTCTGCTGTAACCAAACCATACTGGTTCCCATACCATGATCTTTTTGTTGTGTTCTGTGATGTTGACATTGTATGCCCACGAAGCCTCTGTGTACGCATTCCATACCACTTCAGCTGTGCTGTTGTACTCTGCCAAGAATTTTTCAGCTTCTGCTTCATCAGTTACTTTATCTGAAAGAGGAGAAAATGGGAAGGGAGATAAATGTAACATTGGATTAAAAAATGGGGAAATAAGGCTTGAAAGCTTGTTCTATTTGGTCCACCTGTTAGTATCTGCTCTCTAAAGGAAGGGCTTTGTGTGAAAATTACACACTGGCTGAAATCCTATTACTTAGCATAATAAACTGCACTAGATAAGCCCATTGAAGTGGTGGAAACTTGGTGAGTCAACTGCTCTATAAGGTCCATGTATTTAAACAGACCTACTCTAGTGAAACTTACTATACTAAGCAACAGAATTTCAGTCACTGTGTGCTGGAACAGAACCCCATTGCCATTTAAGAAGCGTGAGTGCTGCTGCTGATAGTTATTCAATGGTGACAAAAAGACATTCTGAGCATGATCAGAGATTCTGTTCTTTTTTTAACTTCATGCTGCACTGAAAAGAAAAAGATTACTCATTGAAGCAGAGTCCAGAGCTGATCCCTGGCAACTCTATAGACCCACTTGAGTGAGCTGCATTTCCTGGCATTCCTGTCCCCTTAAAGAGAAATATGAGGAGAATCCAGCAGTGGACTAGAAAGTAGGTATTTGCTGAGCATCTGCCTTTGCTCATCGAGAGGTTAAAATGAGGAAAAATGTGAAGAGACATGCATTCTAGAATCCACCATTCAGCCAATCACCATGCAGCAGCTCAGCCTGCCTCCCATTTTATCTGTTGCATCAGGAGCAGGAAACTCCATCAGTAGAAGAGATAGCTGATATCAGGATAGGGGCTGTAGCCAGCCATTACCGCAAAAGATAGCAGGTCTTCCGACCAAATCTCACCACTTAGGGCAAGGGTGGGGAAATGCCTGTGCAGCTGTTGTTGGACGCCAAGTCCTGCCTGCCTAAGCCAGCACATAAACTGGCCAGGAATGATAACAGATGCAGTCGGCAACATCCAGAATGCTATCAGGTCTCCCATTTCAGGGATTACTGCCTATGGCCTCCAGCAGGTGTCAGTTTAGAGACAAAGAACAATCATTTAAAGCAGTGGTTCTTAACCTTTGTTACTCGGATGTTTTTGAACTGCAACTCCCAGAAACCCCAGCCCGCACAGTTGGTGGTGAAGGCTTCTTGGAGTTGCAGTCCAAAACTCCTGAGTAACCCAAGGTTAAGAACCAGTGATTTAAAGGAGAAAAGCTGTGGCTTGCTAATTCTAGAAAGAAATGTGGTTCACTCTCTACCCAGTCCCAGTTTCCTCAAAGTGATTCTGTGGCAAAGCTAGCTGCTGGCCTCATCTCACAGTAAAACGGGCAATCATTACTCCAGCTGTATCAGCCACGTATTCTTGGACATATTCCCTGCCCTGCCCTTCTCCTTATATCAAATCCCCATTCCTATCATCAGTGAAAACCCACTGAACACATCCGCTGAGTGGCCTCTCAATCAGGCTTATAACTACCACGTTCCAACAGTAAAAGCATGTAGAAAGGCCGTAGCTCTTCTGGAATGGTGGCACTCACTGTTGAGAAAAATATGATGGCTAAAGCCCAAATATCAGTGGCTCATTCATTCACCCTCCCATGGGCCTCCAATCATTTCCGCGACTTGAAAGCTTTACCAAGGCCTTCTGGGTAGCCCTCTGGAACAGGGGGACGCCACTCAAAATCTGGCCAGCCCAATGTTTCATTGGTTTTCCTGTTCTGTTCCTCCAACCACAAAGTGACAGGGCTAAAATATTCCAGTAATGCTGAAGCATTCATCTTATTTTTGCCAGTGAGTTGTTGGAGAACATCTTGCCATGGCTTAGAAGATCCAGTTTCCAATGCCTCACTGCAGTGAAGGAGACAAAGAGAGGAAGAGACAGTGATGCAAATATAGCTACTTTCTATGACACCCACTGTGGAAAATCCATGGCAATCTAAAACTTGAGCATCAAGAAATTCCAGTTTCCCAGATTCTACATCTCTATGTATCCAGTCTCCTCTAACACATGAGGCTTGAGGAAGCTTTTAATGTTTTATATTTTCTCATCACATTTATCAGAGAAGCAAGCAGCCAGGCAACAGAACTAGGTGTCAGAAGCAACATCTGACATTCTTTGCAACTATTAGAGCCAACCCGTTTCATATTATCTTTCCAGACCTGGTGCTCCAAGGTACTAGATTTACCTTCCCTTTTAATTTTCTGCAATGCCTCAAAAATAATATGCAGCACTGTAGAAAAAGACAGCAGTTCCCAGCCAGTCAGTACAACCACCACCAGCCAACCATTGCCAGTTATGCCCATCTGGACCCATCAAGAAAAGAAGAGATAAATAAAAGGGTGCTTTGCTCAGAGCCCTTTCAGACCTGGCTCCGGCCCCGTAAGGAGTTGTTCAGTTGGCTTGAATGGCCTGGAGACATTTGAAGATTTTGGTACTGCAAGTGCTTCCTTTGTTGTAGCTTTTTTGTTGGTGACACACTTTGGTCTGTGTGATACAGTTATTGAGAGTATTCCTTGATGTGCAAGTGCTTCCTTTGTTGTAGCTTTTTTTGTTGGTGACACACTTTGCTCTGTGTGATGTACAGTTATTGAGAGTACTCCTTGACAAGAAGTTGGGAATAGCTGAATCTGGTAACCAGGTTTAGCCCTGAGAATACGTGGAATCTGCTTTTCTGAAGGCAGGACAGCTATTCTTCAGGCATGATTTAAGACCAAAATGTCTTGGTTATCCTACCTCTAAACATCAGGATGCCAATATTCTTAATGTATCCTTTCAGATTTGTATGCTTGCAATACCACTTCAACACAGACTAGAATTCTTCAAATCTAATACCTTTTAGATGTAAGTCCACTCCTTGTTACCCTCCCTTCTCCCTCTCACCTGAGCTTCTTTCCAGCTTCTTTTGATTGATAAATGTCACAGGTATGAAGAGGCCCAGTGTGGTTGGCAGCTTCACAAAGAGCCTTGTGGAACTGAAATTGCAGGATGAAACTGACAAAGTACCTGCCCAAAACAAAAACAAAACTCTGTATCTTGATGGGACCAGTCAATTATTAGGCAGAAGGAAAAAAAAACCAAAAACAATCCTGTACAGTATTGTCCTAACCAGTATGCACTATTGCAAATCCATACTAGCTGTTTGCACTATCCAGTGCTTATTCTTAGACACAACTCTGAGTTCTGAAAGCAGATTGTAAGCAATACATCACTCAAGAATTCTCTACTGAAGGACAGTAGAATCCAGAATTCAGTGGCAAAACCAAACATTTCATTACCTTTTTTCTTCATCAAGTAATCTTAATTAAAAAATACCCTACCACTTCCAATTCTGTGTGTAAAATAGGCAAGGGGGATTTGTATTTCCACTTGAACTGAATGCACTGGAAGGAAAAAAAAAGCCAAACAAGGTGGGAGAAGGTGTTATGAAGTAACTACTCTACATCAGGAGATCTTGAGTAAGCACTATGCAAAAGCCAACAAGGGAGATATATGGGGTAATAGGGATGTTTTTGGGTGGGAGATAAACTAGCTCAAATGTGCAAAGGTGGAATGAAGTTCTCAACTGTGAACAAACAGTAGCTTCAGTTTCTGAACCTTAATATATCAAGCTCACAAGTCTAGATTTCTCCTAACCATTTGAACAGTCAAAGATTCACCATAGCTAGACCTGGTCCATTCCCTAAACACTAGAAAATGTGGATTATGGCAAAGGTCACATATTGTGGGTAATGATGGAAGCCTGGGTGTTGTCTCCTAGCTCATGGCTGGTCTTGAAAATTCCTGTTTGAGTTCTGTGGCTCACAGAGATGGTTTTAAGAAACTGGAGCCCCAGCACTATTCAATCAAGATCTGTTTGTCAGAACATCATTTACTTCAGTCCTACAGAGCAATGCCATTTGCACCATACAATAACTGAGGGATGATAAAACCCTTCCAAGCACAGTTCAGTAAAACTCCCAGGCCAAATGTGCACATTTCCCATTCCTCAGTGGCACCAGCTTCCACTACCTGATGTAGGGTGTGTTGCCTGGGATGTGATATTTAGCACCAGGGTCAAAGTTTGTTTCATTTCTTGAAATAGGAGGGCAAATCCCCTGGTATTTTGTCCTGGGAAGAAAACAGACACAAATGAATGAATTAACATATGCTTTTCTAGAAGTGGGATATAATTCAGAGTTGGATTTAGAGCAAATTTTGACACAGTGGTGGTCACCAATGCAGTGCCAGAAGCAACCATTTTACATCTGGTTTCCACTTCTTTTCATATCCTCATATTATGGTTTTCCCTCCTCCAATTCCACACTATGGATTTTTCCAGGAGGGATGCATAATATGAGGATCCCCATAGGTACCATAGGAGAAAAGAAGATGGATTGGCTATCTTTGAAAGCAACATGTATAATTTTGCTCCAAAAAAGAATATGTCAAAAAACGTTAAATAAAAAGAAATAGGAATAAACAAAACTCATGTTGATAACTATCCTTCCAATGGGTACAGATACTTACATATTTATTCAAGTCTGAGATTTTTTTAAAAAGTCATTGTGCCCATCTGCTCCCAAATATTTGTCTACTTGTCTTGGCATACATGTTTACACATGCACAGTTACTCTTAATGCTCTCTAGTTACAGAACAAAAATATTGTCAAACTAACTTAATTAGCTTGAAGAACTCCTGCCTTCAGACAAACCTTAGCCCAGGTCTCCCCAACCTGGTGCCCTCAGAATGTGCTGGACAACAGTTTTCTTGAACGCCAAACATATGATGCTCCTGGAAACTGTAGTCCAACACATATGGAGGGGATAGATTGAACAGAGGTGCTTAATCTCTTAGCATAATTTTTCCCTTCTTTACCATTCATGGCCACCCTCCACACACTCTACTTGGACTGTCAAAGGGACCTTTACCTCAGGTACCACCAGTCATAATTGTAGCGGCTGGGAGGGGTGCGCCCACTGAAGACATTCCATCGCCACTGGTCTATCAAATAGCCAAAGGGCAGAAATGCAATCTTTTCCAGGGCCATTTTAAGCAGATAATTGATATCACTCTCTGCAAGAAATGAGGGAAAACAAAAAAGAACAAAGGAAGGAAACTGTAGACAGAGCTTCTAAAGAGAGGTGGAACAAGGGTAAACCAGATGTCTAGTCTGTATAGCTAAATCTTACGCTGCCAACTTTGTATAGATCTTGCCTGCAGAGTAAAAGGCTTGAGTAGGTAATGCATTTGTCTCAAGGAAAGTTAATACTGTAATGGCAACAAAACCTCTGAGCCATAGAGAAAATTGCTTAGCCCAAAGCGCAGGAGTAGTTATGCCTTCTGTGCAAAGCTTTCCCTAGGCTGCAGTTTCTGTTTGCAGAGGGGAAGAGAGGCCCTTCCTATTCTTTCTCATAAAGATGTAGATGACAAGTTCTTGGTTTCAGTCCAAGAGCCTTATTTTAGCCTTCCACAGTTGGGAATCTATGGATTGAGATAAGCTTGGTTTCCTGGCCCTGAGACAACCAATTGCACGTGGGAATCTGGCACTGAAGACGTCTCCTATTATCTCTTTTTCCCACCTTAATCATTCACTGTTTTTCTTCATAACACTTAATGAAGATATCTGTTTCTGCAATCCATACCTACATCCTCAGTAATTTTGCTGAGCAGCCCAATCTTCTGGAGGTGGACCGGGGTGGAGACAGACAAGCTCATGACATCCCCAATGGCTTCATGAAAGCCAGGGTTGGCCCCACTGCGGAAGGTGACAGGTTGGTCCTTATACTGGAGGTAGTATTCAACATGCCCCATCTCATGATGCACTGTGAATAGCTGTTCCATGGTGATAGTTGTGCACTGCTTTATCCTGCAGAGTAGGGAATTAGGAGGTGAGATTGCAGTATTAGTTATGTGCATCAGGTGCATCTGGTGTATCCACAGGTCATCTGCTTGGATGACTAGATAGGTGTTCCTGATTTGGCTCCTTGATTACATACAGAAGATGAGATGGCAGCCCTCAAATGGTGTAAAAACAGAAACCGAGGCAGAATTTAAGTGGACTGGAGTTTGGAAACTTTCATTCCTAGGACCAGTGGCCATAGAAATTTTGTAAGGGAGAAGGCCAAGGATTTCTAATATTTCTAGCACTTGTAAAACTAAGGTTTCTTGGAGATGTACTATATAAACAGGTTTATAAGCAAGTGCATATGTTTAATATAGATTAAGACCTTAATTCAAGGGATAGACAACCTTCAGTCCTTGACTAAATGTCATATGGCATCCAAACTAATTTAAAGATTGGGATCAGCTTGCCCATAGCCTTCCCTAGCAGTCCACCAAGTAAAGAAGAAGTGGGTGAGTAGGTGGGATGAAGATGGCATAGAGAGAAAGAGAGAGAATGCAAGGGTAGCTTCCACACATTTTGGTTCTGGCCCCCATCCACTTCTGACAAATACAGAATAACCTTAAGAAAATCCTGCTACTTTACATGGAAATAGGTGCCACACCACTTTCTAACTTGCTCCACAGATTACAGAATTTTGCCTATGGCTGTTCATATGTTGTGAGGCTCACACAGAGAGCAAGATCACATGATTTAACTCGAGGCCTGAGTAGATGCCCCAAAACCTGCTTTCTATACAAGTTCTTAGTCCCTGGACACACTCGGAAATACAGTTCTGGACATACTGGAAAATACATTGTATCTTCCTGCTGAACAAGAAGGACAATGTCCACTACCTTTTCCATATGTTGACATCTGTAGCAACTGTGTTGTTCCCAGTTGCAGGCAGAGATACAAATACACACACTCACATGCACTCACACTGAAACACAGAAAAAAAAACTATGCATCTTATATGTTGCATGAGGAACATAATACATCTCTCAGTTAAGGTTACAATACCCTAGTCACTTCCATAGCTAGGAGAAGCAGCAGATCTTCCATTTAAACTGAACCAAATGTTGGTACTAATATTAGCCCTTGAAATTTTCTAAAGCATCTCTTTCAAGTAGCAATTCTTTGAGTCTGTGTTTTCACTGGATCACAAGATGAAAATGAACCTGATGTTGACCAGATACTCAGAAAAGGTGAAATTCCTTTGCTCTCTAAGAACCAAAATACACATTATGGGCCTGTGCCAATTAGGGCTTTTGCTCCCTTTCCTAGGCAAGGCCCTGTCATATGCAGTATGCACCTGAAGTCTTTGCGATTGAAGAAGTCCCATGCCGATGCATGGCACACCACCTCCCGCCCATCTGTTGGCTTCTCCAGCATGGATTTCTCCCAGAATTCAGGTGGCATTCCAAACATGCCAAGCGAGGTGAAGAACTCCTCCGACACCAGGAACATGTGTGTTACGGTCCAGTTCTAGGAAAGGCAAGGACCCATCCGCACTCATTAGACAGCACAAATGTTTGTTGGAGTTTGCTCTTGGAGACTGGTTCCCGTTCACTCAAGTATTCTCATAAGAGATTTAAAAAAGTATTCTGCTTGAGCTTTGGAGACAACAGTCTCAGTGAGACAGAAGTGAAGCGGAGGAGTAACTTCTTGAAAGGAGCAAAAGGCTATGGACTTCTTGCACTAGGCAGAGTGAGGGCTGATGCTTGCATGAAGATGCATTTATTTTGCACCATGGACATAGTGGTAGCAGTATAAGCTTTTGTTTCAAGACTTGTGCCAAGAAATGAAAGCAGAAGCTGTGCCCTCAATTCAGTTATGGGGACCAAAAGGACAATCATTTCTATACTGCACACTGCATGGAAGCACAGACCTATGTACAGTATTTGAAAATAAATGTGGGATACACCAGCCCTTAGAAGGCAGGAATTGAAGCCAAACACATTCACCCACAAGTTGTAAAGAAGGATTAAGAAACATTTTGTGCAGAAAGTCATACTGGAACAGTATCATGGAGAGTTGTGGCTTATTTGCATGTTTTAAATTATGCATAACTGGCTTGCCATCTCTTCGATGCTGCTGGGTAGATCACTACTCTAGTTTTACTCTTAATATATTACTTGCCAAGAGATCAGCATTTTACTACAGGATAGCAGCAATACCACTGCCAGTTATGTTTAGGGATACACAGATTTTCACCCACAACATCTAACTATCAGCTGCAGTGAAAGCAGCAAAACAAAGACAAGAAGATATATGGAATGATAACATAAATGCCCTTACTTGCTCCCTCATGGCTTTGGTGACATCCAGACTGGGCTTATTCGGGAAAGGGACCATCATATCATAAATGTTGTTCCACTGCTGGGCCCACATGTTACCTGCAAGGGACAAAGCAGCACAGCTTAGTTAGATGTAAATTATAAAACTTGGATCTTCTTCTTAGAGACAAGTACCAAGACCTGACAGCTTCTGATGTAAGATCATTGGCAAAATATCATTCATAATTTTTAACATTTGGACAAAAAATAGGAGACCTATCTATCCGTTTCATGCTGCTGGATAAAAGCATTTGTTGATCCTATAGAATCAGCTGGCTGGAAAGCTTAATGGTTTAGGTATCTATCTGGCCGAAGAACTGGAAGCTGGGAGTTCAGTTCCTCACTGGGTGTCCCAAAAGAACCAGCCTGTGTGGCCTTGAGCAAGATTAACAGTCGCAGGGCACTCCCAGAAGAAGGGAATAGTAAATCACTTCTGAGCACTGTACTCACCACCTAGAAAATTCTGAAAAGGGTCGCCATAAGTTAGAACTGACTTGGTGGTACATGAATAGAAATAGAATCAGGGACCAATTGTGCATATTTTTGTTATATAAACAGCCTCAAGGAGGAATAAGCAGTCTTTGTACTTATAAGGATAGGGGAAAAGGCAAATCTAACTCTCTCTCTCTGTTAAAAGTCTTACCCCCTCCCCCACAGAGAATGAATAGCATTTCACAAGAGGACATTTGGAATACTGTCCCAATTCTTTCCCTGTAGAGCAATGTCTCCTTAGATGTTCTTGGACTACAACTCCCAGAAACCCTGGCCAGCACAGTTAGCAGCAAACTCTTCCTGGACTACAACTCCCAGAAACCCTGGCCAATGCAGTTAGCGGCAAACTTTTCTGGGAGTTTTAGTTTAAGAACATCTGGGGACCCAAGGTTGGGTACCACTGCTGTACAGGAATCTATATTGCCACTTCCATTGTCTCCTTTTTTTTTTCCTGCCCCAGGAATGATTTGTAAATCCCAAGGCAGGAGGATGGCAATAGCAGCTACTTGAGGCTGGTGCCTGTGGAAGCTCTCAAACATGACCTTGATTGCATTAAGCTGTTTTACTTTAGCTGAAGGAAACAAAGAGTTCTGCTCTGAACCATCAAACACAGTGAATACTTTTGGTTTGATCTCACTCACAGGATGGGTGCAAGGAAAACGTGAAACAGATCATTGTACAACCTCTATAAATCATTAGAAAGTAAAACTAGACAAGCAGATTTTCTGCCATCACAAATATTTCAATCTTTTAAATATTAAATGTGTACATTTAATTTCTGTTATTGTATAGCTGAATGGGTTGCAGTTCCTAGATGTAGAACTAGGGATTGTGACTTTGAACAGGAGATGGAATAGCCAAGTCACCCTGAATGTGTGGCTAATGGGGTTATTATTATGTCCTGCCGCTTGTGTGATTTTGAGCATGCTGTACAGTCCCAGAGTACCATGAGGAGGGGCTGATGAACCTTATTTGAATACTGGAAGGGTCAGCATAAGTTAGAATCAACTAGATGCTACATAACTCATTATTCCTCCAAAAATTTCTAATACACATACATATTATGGGATTCTTAGTGAATGAGTAAATGAGGGAGGGAGGCTGAGACAAAGGGATACATGGGCTATGATGGCACTGAATGCAGAAAGCTGTGAGGAAAGGAAAGAAGGCAGATTTGTGTGCCGTGCATGCAGTGGTAGGCCCTCCATATAGACAAATGGAAGCTAAGAGGGGGAAAAACACACTTGACACACATGGACTTTACAGTATGTAATATCTATGTGTTTCCCATTTTTCCCTAAAGTCCAAAAGCTAAAATTTGACTCTTAAAAATAAAATAAATGTAAGAACTCTCTAAGACTTTCTTTAAATTGAGATCTCTAATAAGAATGAAGAACAGTCCCTCTCATTTTTCAGCCGATGAAGTTTGGAAAAATTGTTTCGAACTATATCAGCAGAAAATAAATAGTTGTTGCCTTGGCACTACATTTCCAGTTTTTCATCCTGTATAGAGCATAGCATACAGTGAAGTCATTCATGTATTCAGAAAGAAATTGCCCCATTTTGTCCCAGTATTAGCCCTACTTTGCCTCCTTTATTGCCACCTTACCTAGTAAGTGAGCTGGAATGGGGCCTTTCAAGTTGATATATGTAGAGCCATACAACTCATACAGTTTTCTTCTGACAAAAGCATGGAGATTCAGGTAGAGTGGTTCCAGCTCATGATAGAGTTCTTCCAGATCATCCTCAAAAGTTGGTGAGTCATACCAGGAACGCCAGTAAGCACCAGTATCCTTGAAGCCTGAATTGCAAAGATAGCACAGAACACAATGAAATCCTTATCTGTAATCTGAACACGTCCTGCTTAGTCATTCATATAATGTAAATTTCTTTCTTGCCTTGTTCTGCCATGACAGAAAAGAAGTGTACAAACTAACAGCCAACTGCTAAAAATAGCTACTAAATAAAAATAAGCATATAAAGTGTTAACAAATAAAGGTGGCCTTAACACATCAGCTGCTTCTAGCTGCCTCAAGAACTCTGGTGCACCTTAGCCTGCTTCATATGACAATTTTCATGGGATTGTAATGAGGAGACATTGATGTGCTGATACAATGGTGCCATTTTTTATTCCCAAAATGGAATAGCAAATACTTTGAGACTGGACATACTGAAGTCATACTGAAGTAAGCATAAGACTGCTCAACACACCATAATTCACAATGGCTTCTTTCTGGTGCTGAGATAGAGAGAAAGGTCATGTGAATAGGTCCTAGAACAGATTGCAGATAAATTCCAACAGGAAAGAATGAGCAATGATCCAAAGAAGTAGCATTGTCCCTATAAAGACCTAAGCAGTTGTTTTCTGAATTTTCCTACAGGTGTTTTCCTTATGCTAAACATGCCCTGTTGTTTTCATTTTCCTCCAGAAGGCAGATGTTCACTCCAGTTATTCCCTGCTCAAGTTTCAACCCCAACTGATGTTAAAGGAACTCACCATCCTTTTCATAAGCTTCATTGCTTAGTGAAACAAATTCCTCATACTTGGATCTTAGAGGATTGCCAGCTGAGTTGTGCCATCCTTCCCAGGCATAGAGCAGTTTTCTGTAACTACGAGAATTGGCCATGATGTCAGTTATCTCTGAAGAGTGAGTGTAGGAAAAACAGAAAGAAAAAAACAAAGATAATAGTCATATAACTACAGGATTGGAAGAGACCTCCAAGAAGGCCAACAATAATAGGAATGCCTACATATTAACTTTTCTATTCACATAAACCCTTCCATCATGTCTCAGAAAAGGCACAAACAGACACGGCTATGAAGCAAAAGGTTTGACAAGAGACACCAGAAATGGACAGGAAAAAAAAAATTAAACACCAATGATAGGTTGTATAATTCTATTATTCTAGTTGAAAAAAGGCATCTGTTCAATTATACCTGTTGTGCCTATTGTCAATTCTAACTGGGCCTCTTTACCAACAAGAAGAAATCATACTGGACTCTTCATCAGGCCTCTCTTTTTACTAGTTGTCAATATCCTTTTGTTTTCTGTCACTATTCTAATTATAGAACTTAAAATTGATTGCCCAAATTTATTACCACCTATGTCAACCTACAATCCTCACTCTAAAACTTCTTTATCTCATGAAATGTATAAAATAGGTAATACCCAACGTGAGATGCTCTCTCTTTCTTTTTCTTTAAAGACCCCTTTGAAGGGTTCAAATCACATTCCTAAAGTTGGGCACTAGACCATACCCTGTGCAACTTTGCTCCTTCTTTCAGAAGATATAGTCACAATGAACAATATCAACGTTTTACCTAAAGAGGCATATAACCTGACTCTCCTGTTTTATTTAGGATTGTAGAGCCCTAAATAGGTAGTATGTGAACAGAGTACATAGAGAAGGACAGACAGATATATAGTGTATCTTTCAGGACCCTGGACAGGGCAGTGGAAGAAGATCATTTGTCTCAAGTCTTCGCTCCAAATGAACCCTTATGTTCTTCTTCATCTTGGTCATGCTTCCCAAACTCCATCCCTTCCAGCTGAGGAAGGTGAGCCTTAAAGTGGAAGTCCTCATGGAACTGTCTTGGTGAGTGAAGCTGAGATACTTATCTGCTTCCATTTGTTTCACAAAGTTCTTACTGCTCAGGGGCATCCAGCTCATGGGACAGTGTTCAACTGGGTATCCTGATACAGGTGCTCCTAACCATAAGAATCATGCTCACTACTGGATCTCGGATCCAGTGGTTTCATTGCATGCGCTGGCTCACCACTCCTGCTTGTCTCTGTCTACGTCCTGGCACTTGCATGAAGTTCTGCTGATGACAATTCATGCAAAAAACCAACACAATTATCACTCCCTACTTTTGTAAATGCATCATGCATTGAGCCTGCAAGCATGAAGCAATGCCAGATTCTGCCTGACTCTTCAAACCTGACTAGTGAAGGAAGGTAAAAGCACCAAGAGCAGTTATTTGAGCAAGGAGCTCTAAATTCAGATGGCTGTCCAGCAGGACCTTGGGTGTAGGATCTGGCAAAGGAGCTGAGCCAAGAGACCTGATCTATCAGGCAGTGGATCAAGTTGCTCTAACTCTTCCTGGTGCTTAGCAGCACCCTAATGTAGAGCAGTCTTTGTTGATGACCTGCTCCTGCACAAGTGTGAGAGGGAACAGACTTTACCTACCATATAGGAATTCCTAATCTTTTTATGAGGTCTCACATATGTCCTCATATGTATGATTGTGCAGAGGTTCCACTCCTAGAACAATAGTTACAGGCAAGCAACTCTCTTTTCTGTCGTAAACACAAGAGTAAATGCTGCATTTGACATTAGCAAACACCAAGAATCGAGATAAAAATCTGTACGCAGTACTCATTTTACTTCATACTCATTGATCCCGCCGTGTCATATTTATTTTATGCAATTATTCAGGGAAAAAGCATTCTTCTCCATCCCACTTCGGAGGTGTTATTAATTTAGGATCTGTTAGTAGACTTAGAAGCAGTTCGGTATCACTATATTAGGTCTATCAAGTTGGGAAACACTAATTTTAAACTGCTTTTAAACTGTGAGCTGGTAATTTTTCATAAGTGTGCAAGCTTATGGTGACATTACTTCATTCTAGGCTGCAGAATTGCAGAGAATAAATTAGATGGTAAAATAAATTGCTTAAACTAAAAAAAGAAGAGGCTTGTGTGTGTGTGTGTGTGTGTGTGTGTTTGTGCACATGCAATTTCTCACATGCTTGAAGAATAAACATATTGTGGGGAAAAACAAGACATCTTGCAAACTACAGTATGGTAACTAGTCACATTCATTTTTAAATATCTATGGAATATGTAAAGTTTTATGCCAGTACAACATATTGGTTAGCTGCAGCCATGCATGATATGTGGCCCTTACTCCTCTATAAAGCAGCTTTCCTTTCAGTCATCTTCATCACAACCCTGCCTAGGTATCTATTTTCAGAAGAATCTGGACATCTGCAAATAGACAAGGATGAAATGGGGAAGGAACAGGTCAACTGAAGACAGAAAACATGGCATACCTGGTTCAAGAGCCCAACAGTTTGAGTTCTGATTTGGTGGACACACCTTGGCAGTAGAGTAAATATTGTCCATCTCACTCAGGATAGTGTTATACTGGGAAAAGACAAATAGTACAGATTAAAGTGACAGCTTCAGACTTACCAATTCTACCTGTCTTAGAAACTGAATTCTATCCAATAAGACCTATCACATTTTCCACAATCAGTTAAAAATAACTGCTTATTAATGACAGGAAGAACACCTCATGAGTCTGCTTATTATGCTGTAGACAGAGTTATGTATTTCATTGAGAAAAAGAGCCCCAAATGCCTTTGTCTTTTACTATGTTTTGAAGTGAAGGACAACATCCTTAAACAGATCCTTCCCTTTCCTGTTTAAGCACTGTTTTTTCTTTCTCCCATTGTTCTGATTAAGCCATGTAATCTGAATCAATCTGGCTATGTCACATTAATCTGGGTGTAAATCAGGACTCTTATCCACTTTCCACCACAACCTGGTCAAGATGTGCCTGACCCGTCAAACCCTCTCTTTGACATAATGAGAGGTTGGAGATGGCTTTGTAAGTCAGAGACAGGAGGAAATGGAACCATGAGCAGAAAGGGATGAGGCTTCCATTTTATATACTTTTTATTCTCTCCTCAGCACAGGTAGGAATGAAAGAAGTAGAAGACTCTCTAGGATGGAAAAGGCTCTACAGCTAAGTTTTCTCTGCTGGTGACCCTGGACTGAAATCCTCCCAGAGAGGCATAGGGAACCAGGAGAAAGAGCCAATCCATCACATCTTCCCTTGATGAATTATCTCAACACCTCTGGAAATACTGACATAAAGAACCTAATGCCCATTTTCAAGGGAGGGAGGGAGGGAGGGAGAGGACAAACATAGAGCTCTTTTTTTGTTGTTGATGCCTTTGCTTTAAATAGATTGTGCTCTCTTCCCATGAAGTTGTGCTTTCTTTGTTTCTGCCTTGTCCTCAGAGGGAGTCATCTACCCAGGAATCTTGGCAAGCGCCTCCCCGCCTGCTGATCCAGATGGGACTGCAAAGTCTGGGATTAGATAGCGATTCTCAAGGTCCCTTTTTGCTCATTCTTGCTTTGTTAGATGAGCACAAGAGCTACTGTCAGATGCACAGCTTTGCTTTGATGTTTGATAGCAGGTGGACTCCGAGGATGAACCATTGCTAGAAATGTGACTGAAGTTCATATTCCTTTGCTCAAAATGCAAACAACAGCTCAGGGACAGGAAGCAAACCTTATCAATCTTCAATTTGTTCTCTGTAGGAGGAACACAGAAATATAACATTTTTTCCTGTGCTCCTGACAGAGGTAATACTGCCTGAAGGAAAATGTAAAGACCTATTTCCCATCTTCAGTGGTAGAATAGCAGTATTGTCTTGCCCAGTGTCTTTTGGTATTATCTGTTATTGTGTGATTTTATCTAAACAATGTATTTTTATTTTCCTGGTCATGGACCAAAATAAATAAATAAATAAATAAACAAACAAATAAACAAACAAATAAATAAAAGAAAGAAAGAAAGAAAGAAAGAAAGAAAGAAAGAAAGAAAGAAAGAAAGAAAGAAAGAAAGAAAGAAAGAAAGAAAGAAAGAAAGAAAGAAAGAAAGAAAGAAAGAAAGAAAGAAGAGTTTGCTGGAGAGGGATCAGACCCAATTACATTCCCCTTCATGTTGCTGGGGATGCAACAGGATCTCATTGGGCATGGAAATGGGCTCAGAAAAAAGGATTATTTTCTGCTGAAAAGTCCACCCGCTATCAAACGTAAATGCATCTGACAGTTGAAAACAACTGAGTTTGCTCATTGGTCAACACCTATTTTACAGCATACAATAGGAGAGAGATTTGATGTTTTACATATTCTCTTTCTGGACACCTTGCTCGGGCCTTTGATGGTTTTATCTAATGAAGCCCACAGTGTCTCCAGAGGTGAAGCACCTGTAATGGCCTAGAAGGGAAATACATCTTGGATTTCCTGACAAAGAACTAGGCTTCATGGAGCTGAAAAGCAGATACTCAGGAAGATGGGTAGGTAGGTACTTTACTGAAGAAGTCTTCAAACAATTTCAAATTCAAATACAGTAAACACAAACTAATAACAAAATCAACCACAAATATTCATCTTGCAAAGGGTTAAAATATAAAATACTAAAATTGTACTAAAATTATATTTTAGCAATTATTTACACAATAACTCTAATTCCACATGGCTGGCTTTCTCTGTTGAAAAACAAAATGATGTGATATAGACTTTTCCTAAGCCCCACTCTAACGTTCTTGTAATGAGGATGGTGGCTTAGGGCAATGAGCAGAAACACAGCCTAATACTACAATAATATACAATTTAGTTATTCGATTAATCATAATAAAATAAATTCCTATGGTTCTAGTAAAACCCTACTAGAAATAAAAACATTACATGACTCATCTAAATGGAAACTTTCTCTTCTTTATTCTTCCAGAGAGACGTTGCTTTAACAGTAAAGAGAGCAACCTTTTGTGTCACTAATTGATTGGACCCTTGCAATAAGAGTTCAGTTTGTTCTCTCTCCTGATCTCTCATACTCTCAAGGAATGGGGCTAAATAATGTTCTCTAATGCTAGTGTATAGCTGGCAATACAAAATAAGTATGTAATGGGCCCACATATATATATACAAACACAAAATATATCTTGTACTGGGATGCCCTGAAATTGTTCTTGTTGCATGATTGTATCCATTTGCTCAAAACAAAAATGAGTGAAGACCATTCATAAATCATTTTTTGTTGGGAAGGACAAGTATTTTTCCTCCTGAAATTGGATTTTAGTCCTTGCTAACCATTTCATGGATCTTACAGATGACTGGTCAGCTATATCCATCTATGCTCTACTGTTCTTTGAAAACATAATTTGAACACAATTTAAAAAAATTAAAGAACCAATTTTTAAAAAATCTTTTTATCACCTGTTCATTTACACATACTGTACATTGGGGAGCCTTACATCACTCATTTGAACTACTAGCTTACTCCAGCAATTAAACATCCTAAGAAGGCAAAGATCTGGTACAGATGCCATTCCAAATTCAACTCTAATTACTGCGGCTGGTAGAAATTTATTTGATGTCTTTATGATTTTCTTATTATTGACAAATTCCCAGATTTCTGTGCCAAAGATTAACATAGGCAATACCTTACATAGTATACATTTGTAACTGGTTGAGTCAGGCCAGGGTACTAATAATTCAGTAATTTATTCACAGGCAGATGCTTTCATTACATTCCTATTTATCTGATGAGACCATGGTGATGAGACCAGTAGAAAAAAACTAGCCAAAGTAATTACAGTATATGATCTCACCTGTTCTATTTCTTTGGCTCAAAACCACTTATAATGTTTCAGGGTTTTTTTTTTTTTGGTTTTTTTTTTTTTTGCCAAAGATTACTACTTTTTATTTACTATTGTTTATTACCAGGTTGTTTTGCTGACAATGAGCATTAACTTTCTCAATTGTCTTTGCAGACCTACCTGTGTTGTAGAAAGTAGGGTCACATTGTATTCTCAAAGGCTTTCACGGCTGGGATCTAATGGTTGTTGTAGGTTTTTCAGGCTGTTTGGCCGTGTTCTAGAGGTTTTTCTTCCTAACGTTTTGCCAGTCTCTGTGGATGGCATCTTCAGAGAACACAGACAGAGTTCTCGCTCCTGTCCTCTGAAGATGCCAGCCACAGAGACTGGCAAAATGTTAGGAAGCAAAAACTCCAGAACATGGCCAAACAGCCCAAAAAACCTACACCAACCATAGGGTCATATTGTCTGTATATACGAGCATGTTAACTGACCTGTCCAGGGCTTTCAGCATATGAAAATTGAGACTATGAAACTATATCATTAATACAATTTTTTTTAAATGGTGCAGAATACAGCCCTGATCTTATTGTTAAAGCATACTTTATACTTGTTCTAACTTGTAGACAGTTGTGTCTGTATAAAAGGTCTTGATAAGGAAAAGAAGTCTCTGATCAATACTTATCTTCAAGAATTTGTACCATAAAGATTTGATTATTGAATCAAAAGCAGCAATGTAGTACAAAGCTCTCCACATCTTGAAGTATATTTTGTTATCAGATACAACAGAGTAAAGGAATTATCAGTAACAGATCTTCCCTACCTAAACCCTACCTATTTTTCTGCTGAGATGAAATTTTGCTCTGCTGAAACCTCAAGTTTCTCTAAAATAAATTTTGCATAGATTTTGGTTGTAATATCTATTAGACTAATTGACCTATAGTTTCTAGGGTCTTTCTTGTCTCCTTTTAAGAACAATGGAACAATTATGCTGAGATTCCAAGCATTTGGAATGCACCCAGTATTATTTATGTGAGTGAACAAACCAGCCTGTAAAGTAGCCCACTATTCTACTCCTTAAAAAAGTTCAGGTGGCATGAAATTCTCTCCTGGCACTTTGCTATTCTTTAATGACTGTATGAGCGATTTAATTTCTTGCATGGAAACAGGAAGCTATTTGGAAAGATCATTTTTATTCCCAGGAGTGTTTTCCACAAACAATGTGCTGTCAACTTTTACCTGCTCCCTGAATAAGTTAGAAAAAAAGCTGAGACTGATATAGGTGTCTCAAAATTACGCTGGAATTCACCCAAATTTCTGACAACTAACTGCCAAAACTGTGCTGGGTTTTTGTTTACTAACTCCAATTCCAAATCTCCCCAACATTTGGCAGCATAACTGGCTTTTTTTAAAAGCTCTAAAAAATTTTTTTTAATATTCTCTCCTAGTAATGGCCATAGATGTATAAGCTCTGATATCAGAGGAATTACGAACTTTCCTCAATTGTTTCCTCAATCTGCAAATTTCAGCATCAATCCAGGGGAACTTTTTATTCCTAAAGCCATTTGCTGAGATAATAGTAAAGTTTTAATTTTGGAAGAGATCGCCTGATATGCACCCAAAACATGATTAATGTTTGCCTCAGGGGAACATACTATACTTGCTAGGACACAACCCACTTCTACTCAGGGAGAGGAACATTCCAAATTTCTTATCCATGAGTTCCCTAGAGAGCACATAGTAACATGAACATTGAAATCACCAAAGATCAAGGCAGGCTCAGAAGGTCTGTAGAAAGTCTGAAATGAATTTTGAGAGGAAGCTGGTGCAGGCAGTCCCAGATTCAATTCTTGTCATATCCAAGTAGAATTGGGGAAAGAAAGTTTTGCTTGAAATCCTGGAATTTGGCTGGCTCCCAGTGACAAACAATACTGACCTAGGATGGACCAACAATCTGACTCCGCGAAAGTCAGGTTCCATCATCCCTATATCATTAGATTACAAATGACTCTTTATATAACAAGGCACAAAACTCCAAGTAATTTGAAAATAAAATCTAGCTTACAGATATAGTCTGATATGCAGCTGTTTATATTTGCTCTTTCTCTGTATCAGCTAAAGGACAGAGATTAGATTGATCTCCCTTCAATGAAAATGCTTTACTTTACAATAAAGTAAAGCAATTAAAATAAGCTCTGAAGGAAAGCATTTATTTGCCTTGAAAGAGTACAGAGCAGAAAAAAATGAAAATTTTAATTAAATGAAATGAAAGTTTTGGGAGCATTGGAGCTACAATTCTAATTACAGTTCCTAAGGAAAACAGCGTTGCAACCTGTCTCCCTCCTCTATAGGTCAGAAGTTCATGGGAACTAAAGTGCTACTTCCTCTTGGCTGGAAAAGAATATAGTTAACTTTTATTTCTCCCAGTGGTTTACTTATTTAGAAACAGTAGAGAAAATAAAATAAATTTCAGTTCATGCTGTTTCCATATTTAACCTGTGCATAGTGAGAATTTTTCAAAAACCACATCTGCAAGGTAAAGGCAGTTTTGCTCTGGATCCTGACAGAGGGGAATGAGGTAGCTCCTTTCCTCCGTGCCATTTCTCAATAAAGCTGATGTCTGAATAAAGTTCTCCATACATACATACACCTTGCTGCTGCAGCAGCTTTACCAAGGAGACTACAGATAACATTTTCAGATGTTTCATCCAGTTTGGTGTTGAAGGCCTCAGACGTCCTCCAGAATCATTTGCAATGTACAGTTCTCCAGAATTACACACCTGTTATTAAAATTAAGTCCTAATATTCCTTTCTCTCCTTCCTCCGTCTCCTTGCCATAGGTCAGTCTCTCTCAGTAACAAAGGACATACTTACCCTTTCCCGTTTAACCACAGGTAAATTGGACGGTCCTAAGGTTTGGATTGAACTGATGATATGCTTTAGTTGAGGATCACTGAAATTCTGCCAGATGTGTCCATAGCTTTCTTTTGCTTTCTTTCCCCAAGCTTCTATGAATTCTTGCTCCTTCAAAGAGGCTGCTACCTGCACAAGGGTGGGGGTGGGAACAGTAATGACAACTAATATATGAGTACACCATTGATCATTCAAAGATAGACATCAAAGTCCCTGCATTGCAGCATTTCACAGGTGTTTGGAACCAATAAAGAACATTAAGATATGTCTGCAGTGTTTTTTCGCCCTTGGGCTGCAGCAAGCAAAATGCCTAGCCTAATATATAATAGTAGTGATACAATGTAAATGATGTAAATACTGCAAGAAATTTCACATTAAATAAAATTTTGTGTTGATTATAAAATATGAAAACTCGCAATTAAACTGCACAAAACTACTGAGTTCTGAAAAAGAAGTTCTGAAATGTCTGTGATAATGATGATGATAATAATAATCTGAAAACTGCAGGGCTGGAAGGGACCCTATGGAATTAAGGAGGCACAGTGGGGAATAAAACTCTAATCTCTGACTCTACAGCCAAATACCCAAGCCACTGAGCAATCCAGCAGTTATATGAATGATTTATCAGTATACTAAGTAAATTTGAATTTGTGCCTTAGCATAGCAAAAATGTTGGGATCTTCTTTGGTAGATAAACTTTCCCATTACTGATTTCTTCTGTGGCCCACTGCCCTTCACAGGCAACCTAGTAACCTCAACCTTTTATGAGATACAAGGTTAGAGAGTGCTAAAAATTGGTGGAGTGGCATTTAGAGATAAAAAGAAAAAGAAAATTAAGGAAGTCATTCTGAGAAAGAAGCTGTTGAACCCTTGAGGCCAAGAGGTGTGGCTTATGCAGGGAACAAATCTAATCTTTCCTAGGCACATGAGTTACACCCTTCAAGCTACCTTTTACATTCAAGACATTTCTCCTGTTGGGTGAAATTTAACTAGTCCTAACAGAAACCCTTTCCAACTGTTTCCAAGGCTACAGACAAAAAGTGTAGGGACTATTATATACTGCCTTTTTAAAAAGATGCCAGAAGTAACAGTTTAACTTTGGACATATGACATCTGCCTGTAGTGCTGTTTCCCATTTTCAAAAGGGGCCAGTGATCATCCTTCTCCTTACAACCATGCTTTTTTAAAAGGAGAGGCACAATAAATAAATATATATTTCTGCTATACATGCATGCTATGTCAGAGGCAATACTGATGTGTATATGTACATGTGAATTTGAGTTATAAAAACCAGCACTAATACTATTCCTGCAGTCTCCACTCACTCATCATCAGTCCTAAGTAATCTCTTTTGTACAGTTTTTTTTTATATTATTTAACAATGCATTTGGTGGGTGGGTGGGGAACCATCCTGTCTATCTGCATTGCAATTTACACAGGATTTATTAGCTGAATTTCATTTAACAAGTTGATCCCCACCCAACCCACCTCATCTGGTCATTTTTACTTCAATGGAAAATGAACAGGCTACAGATGCTAGCAATACAAGTTACACAATACTGAAGAAATTAACCATTAGCATTACTGTATATTACTTAAACCAGGGACGTGGTGGTGCTGTGGGCTAAACCGCAGAAGCCTGTGCTGCAGGGTCAGAAGACCAGCAGTCATAAGATCGAATCCACGCAGCGGAATGAGCTCCCGTCGCTTTGCCCCAGCTCCTCGCCAACCAAGCAGTTCGAAAGCATGCAAATGTGAGTAGATAAATAGGTACCACTACGGTGGGAAGGTAAAATGGCGTTCCCTCATCACGCTGGCCATGTGACAACGGAAACTGTCTTTGGACAAGCGCTGGCTCTACAGCTTGAAAAACTGGATGAGCACCACACCCTAGAGTTGAACACGACTGGACTAAAAATGTCAAGGGGAACCTTTACCTTTTACCTTACTTAAACAACAGAAGAATATTTGCTCTGCCAGGAAAATTTCAACCTTTTAACAGGTTTTAAGAAGAAAATACTCAAGCTATATCACCCTACCCTCCACCCCACACAGCACTAGGTAATGTTCAGGTGCTTTACAGGAGTTGTTCTACAAAGAAATCTGTATGAAATTTAAGGGGAATTTCTGTTTGGTCCATGGCCATTGAAAAGCTAGAATGGGTTAGAATGGGACCTTTAACAAAACATGATGCATTGGGATGCACTGACACCTGATAACACTATTTACAACCAAAATCATTCTAATGTTTGCTCCATAGTTTTTAAAAAACTACCTTACAAAGTCAACCCGCACAGGTTGACCAATGCACATAAAAGATCTTACATTACAATAAATGGAAAATGGGAAATCATTCTTTTGGAGAAAACCAACAGGAGATATTAAATCAAGAGAGCATTTGAAAGTATCTATGCATTTTCTATTTAACTTCTCCTTGGATCTGCTTCTCTCAGCTACACTGTACACATTCAACATTATACATAGTTTGGCCAAGAAACCATATGGTGATTTTTTTTGTTCTTGACTTTTGTGCCTTTTAAGCTTCCACAAAACAGCAGCAGAGGCCAAGTTTTAAACCCACTTATTTCTACCAAGGCTATGTCAGCACTTCCAGCACCAGTTACCATCCATTTAATAATTTTTCAGTAAGGCCGGAATGAAATAAAGGTTGATTGCTTTTACCTGGTTACAAAACTTCACAAGGAAGAAGTTACTGTGTAAATAAATTCATTGCCTTTTCCTATGAGAAAAATAGCCAGCAATGTTGACACATCTGTCACTGGTCCTGAAGACACAACTGTGAGTGTTTCATGCCATGTTTAATGATGATTTCATCTCCCTGGAGAATGTGATTTATGAGAGGACTTTCTTTTATCAAAGAATCTTGACAAAAATGTCATTTTGTTAGTGTTTTGGGCAAACAGACAGAGCACTGTGAATTTGTTGATAAAGCAAGTTGATAAAGCAACTTAGAGAAAGATTGATGCTTGTAGTTCTAAACAAAAGGCTTTCTGTGATTAAAAATGAATGAATGAACTGAACATTTAATTTGTCACAAAATTGTATAGATGGTTGCTCAAAACCCAGTGCACGGCTTGATGAAAATGCATTAAGTGTCTAATCATTGTGCACTCCATTAAAGTTTGATTTATAGCTCATTAGTGTTTATTTATAGCTTTCCTACCAGTCTCAGACAAGGCCATATTGTCTTACTTTACTCCCCAACCAGAGTATTGAATGCTGGTGTGATGTGAGGCCATTGGTTAAAAGCAGTGGCTTGTATCTGTAATTAGTATGAAATTGGCTACATTTCTTAAAACAGTTTCAATGCCCAGGTGTTACAAAAAGTCTTCATTGCCAAAAGGAAAATAAGCAAAATGTGATCTGTATTACAGCCGGAAATTGTAACCCCTGCAACAAGGGAGCTCTTTGGATTCCTAAGCAGCACTGTTTCCAGGTACAAAGATCTCTTGGGCAAGGTACTTTCAGTGGGGCCACCCCCTCTGTTCTGCTGCCACTACAGTCCATTTTCTTTTGGGCAAGTGGGATGGCCGTGACAATGAGGATGAAGAGGCGATAGCATAGGACGTAGGGATCTGGAAGACTTTGAAAGTGGACTCACTGCAGTAGCACGAGCTTTGGGAGGTGCCCATTAACCCTCCCAGCTTATGTCCTAAAGAGCAGAAGAGGAATTCAGAAGAATATTGGTTGAAAGGATCCAGAGGCCAGCATAGATCTGGCTAGGTTATTTGCTGAACAGAATTTCCATATCAAAGGCTCTGAACTTTACATGTTCAGATGTGGTTATATATATAGCTCCTAGGATCCTGAGCATTGGTCATCACGGCTGGAACTTCTGGAAGTTAATATGCAAAAATATTCAGGGAAGGTCTATACAATGAACAATGTGCCAAAAGCATGGAATAAGGATCCAAAAGAAAGGGGCATTAGAACAATTAGCTATGGATGCTTAAATAAAATAAATAAACTAAGCCAGTCCATGCCAGAATTTGGTAATGTTCTGTTTGGGACTTTATTTCCTAGACTCCTCCCAGCTAACATGGCCATTGGTAGAACTATGCAGATTTATTTTTAGACTGCATTTGTGCACTCAGACCACCCTCAGCACCTCAACAATTGGAGTGTGCAGGAAAGACAACGGGAGAGACTGATAAAATCATATAGAAAACAATTACTTGAAGTTATTGCTGCTAAAGGTGATTCTACAAGCTGTTGAATCATAAGGTATACTTAGTTTTTCACACAGGGCTTCTCCATGTTGGCTTTATTTTTGTGAAATAAATCATGACATAGTATAATATGTCATGTGTTGTTGTTCATCTGAGGTTGTATTTACCTAATTTTCAGACCTGCTAAGGACCAGATGATTTTTATTATGTCCTGATATGTAAAACCATAGAATTCAAAGAGGATGTGCTTTCTTTTTCACATGACTGTATTCTGTGCCTTTGGGCGGACTCATAACACCAGGATATACTTCATTTCTCAGTAAATCAGGCTTGGCGGGGGGGGGGGACCTCAAGGATCCTGAGTTAGGTTTTGCAGGCTTATAACCACTAGACAAAGTTCAAACACACCTATCGTTTGAGTGATACAATGAGGAGGAAATGAATCATGGTCATTTTCTCCTCTGTCTTTTTCTGAGCTCAAGAATGAAAGTCAGTTTGCCTTAGGTCCATGTTCTTTTCTTTCCTCCTCCTACATGGCTGGAGGACATCTTTCTTTTTTCTTATCAGAGCACTGCACAATTTAAAATGGAAGAGATTGGAACCATTTACTTCTATTTTTAGTTAATTAGTACTATTGGTGCTTGGACCAAACTTTTTCTTCCTTAAATCCTCTGTCTGCTACAGACTTCATCCCATTTTAGTTATTCTACCATTATTTCTCTGGTTTGCTGGTAGAAAGAAAAGCTAGAGTGCAGGATCTTCCCAGATTCAGATGTCACAATAAACAGAGCACAGACAGAATGTCAGTGGGTTGTTTACCCACAGCTGCTTGCAGTGTCAGCTCATGAGCTGAAAGAGAAGCTCTTCTCCTATGATTTTGGGGTGAAGTACTCCTTCATCTCAGCCCATGAGCCACAACTGCTTGTTTGCAGTAGGAGA